AGGAGTGTCAACACAGGCACCAAGTACTATGGAGCTTTCGCGAAATGGGAACATTTCATTTCCGGACATGGTTTTTCGTCTATCCCGGCAAATCCCATACACGTGGCATTATATTTAAATTCTTTATTGGAAAAGGGAGGGACTTACGCAGTGGTGTCGTCTGCAGTATATGCTATCAAATGGGTGCACAATCTTAACGGACACATCGACCCTACAACAAACTCATTCGTACAGAACTTAATTGAATTTTCCAAACGAGAGGCTAAAAATCCTGTTTGCAAAAAGGAACCGGTCACGACTGACATTTTGATCAATTTGTGTGGAATGTTTTTGAATGAGAATGACTTGTTGGTAGTGAGAGATCTTGCCATGATTTTGTTAGGGTTTTCCGGTTTTTTACGTTTTAACGAGCTCAGTAGTTTGCGTTGCTCTGATGTTCAGTTTTTCGAGGGGCATTTAACGCTCAATATCAGGAAAAGTAAAACAGACAAATATCGCTTTGGTAGTCAAGTGGTCATCAGTAAAGGTTCGACTGTAGCTTGTCCGTACACCATGTTATCAAGGTATGTTGAGTTATCAAAAATTGACTTAAGTTCGGATCATTTTTTGTTTAAGCAAGTTTATCGTTCCGGTCAGGGTTGTAAGCTTATTAACAAAAATAAGCCACTTAGTTACACAGGGGCTAGGCAAGCTGTCATGAAAAGGTTGAAACTAGTTTCCAATGATACAAATTTTGGTTTACACTCGCTCAGAGCAGGGGGCGCCACAGTGGCCGCCAACAACGGAGTGAACGATCGATGTTTCAGGAGGCATGGCCGCTGGAAAGGCGAATCTAGCAAGGATGGTTATGTCGCTGACTCTTTGGAGTCTCGTTTACTGGTAACACAGAAGTTAGGTTTGTAATTAATATGGTTATTTGATCAATTATTCAAAGGCGGTTAGGTATTCCCCAACCACAACCCCCTTGCCCTTTCTTTGTTAATTCTCTAATTCGTGACGGGCTAGTACGGCAAATGAGTATTTGCGGGTTTGAGTTTTCTTTTCGGGCACGAAGTGGAGAGAAGACTTAAATATTCCCGCGTTTCGGTAGTATAGCGGGAATAGTTCGTCTTCTCAGGCACGTAGAGCACGTGCGTATGCCCAGGTAAGGGTGGGTGCGCGGGTGAATAGTCATTCTCTAGCTCTCCGTCTAGCAGTGCAGTCCAGTTAATTTAGTTAGTTAGTGTGCCTATCAGTATTATTATATGTAGTTGGTTTGCTCCGTTTTCTAGTCTTGCTATTTTATGCTTGCATTCCTGGCGAGGAAATCTGGAAGTCTGGGTATGCTTAGTGGGAGTGTGATTGGCTGATATTGTGTTAGTGGCGCTCCGGTAGAACGATTGTTTTTTTTTTTTTTTTTTCTTCGACACCGGTCCTTGTGTCGGCCCGGAGAACGTATTGCAATTGGAGGTAATCGATTCCAGCCCCGTTGGACACAGGTTTCCGGGGATTATCTCCGGTTTTTCCTGGGCGCGCGATACATTCTGTGATGGGAGGTGAGTATGGAGTGTCTAGGACGCTCTCGTGGGTGAGGAGTGTGTGCGTTAGGGACGTTTGCGTCACGTCTGTCGGAGTGAGATTCGTACGTACAATGTATTTTCTACACCATGTATTATTAAACGCCTACTGCACTAATTCGTGACGGGCTAGTACGGCAAATGAGTATTTGCGGGTTTGAGTTTTCTTTTCGGGCACGAAGTGGAGAGAAGACATCATATGACCGATATCTACTATACAAATCTTCCAACAATATGTTATAAACCCCATATATCCCTATGTCATCAATTGCTTTGTTTCTTGTTTTTACATTACTATCTACATTTTCTACTTGGCGGTGACTTTAGACACCTAATACAGTACCGTTCTCACAAAGAGAGGTAGATGTGTAGGTACAGGTTGCAAAGTTGTTTACAGGAGAGACATTTAACCAAGTAATCTGCTAGAAATATATGACTTTACTGATGATCAAGAGATTGGTGTGCTGGGTGTTTTAAGAATTATCAGAAAGAAAAAAAGCCCACAAGCTGACGGGTCAAAGCGTCGGTGTTGATGATGATACGTGGCGAAACATCCCACTATTATCCACAGAGGATCTATTTTATGATCAGTCTTCCCATGCAATATGCACTCTATGTATGAAGAGTTTCCATTATATGTCAGAACATTTAATCAATATGATTATCATGGAACATTTTGAAGATGAAATTTCACTTTAGTGGGTTATTAGTGTAGGTGGCAATTCCTTTGTACTAATAAAACCAATCAGGTCATAGGTCAAGGTTGTAGACGTCGTTTGTTTCTCAGAGCAATCCTGTGTTTTGAAAGCTGTTCAGAATACAATATCATAAAACCTTGTTAACTTACAGACGATCTTATTTTGCTTGTATTCTTGGCATCCTCTACATATGCTTGATTACCTTTGCCCCTCGGTGATCGACTGCCGGTTTCCTGCATCATCCGGTGGTTGCCAACTCTCCTGGGATGTTTAAACCCTGAACCCCGACATCCTCCAGTTGGTGGGTCAATAGTGGTGGCAAACCATAACTCGATGGATCCCGGCTTCCAGCATATGTCATTCCGACGGTACCATATCAAGCATAATGTTCTCTCTGCTTCTAAGCCCAGATTCCGCAAGGCTGTCCCAACATTCCCAGTTGTTGCAAATTGAAAAGCTACTCACTGACTGCACTGGAAACATCATTACACCCCATCCCTTTTCCCACTGTAAGCTCCACTACAATGGGAGGTTTTGACTGTGTTGATTTGAGGACCTTGCAGCTCCCAGTCCCTTGCTCTGTCCATCAGCGTTGTTCTGGCCAACTCTTTTCCCTCGGCTGATTCATCTTGCGTCACGAAGAACGTTTCTCTTCCTGTTTTGCCTTAGGCCGCATCTTTCTCCTCTCTATCACCAGAATGTTTCCCAACTCAAGCAGGAATTTTTGTGCCGCCACCTATACCCCCTGTGTCAATGACACCTGGCATCCTGACAGTATGCGCGACAGTGTCCCTCGTTTTCCTCACAGCTGACAACTGTCGTCCATGTGATTAGCAGGAGACGGCAGAGTGTCGTGGACTGCTCTCAACAGAATGACGATCCTATATTGGTCCTTTCTCCATAGCTCTGACTACCACAGTTTCCGCTCTGTAGTTTCCACTTAACCCACGCTCCTTGCTTCCTCATTTCAACTGCCTTCGCTCTTCGATGATCTTCTTCTACCTGCCTTGCTTCATTCTGAACCATCCCTCGTCACTCTGTTGTTGTATTCTTCAACTGCTGACAGTGAACTATGCCCAACCCCTGTCTTCCGTACAGGTGTTCCCAGCCACATCCCGTATTTACAGAGCTTGGTCTACTGATGTTGATGCTGGTCATTTCCATCATGATCTTGTCTGGATGCCTGCTCTACTGACTCTAGAATCTAACAAGTCCCTTAGCGTCATGAAAAGCCGGTACTTGGTCACTTTGAACTCTTCACTGGTGGAATTGGTAGTTGGTAGTTGGGATGACTTTCCATACTGTCCAACTGAAGGAAATCCTGGTAGGACTCTTCGTCATCTTCTCAAACAGCTGGTCATTGATTTCTCCAATACCCCGACACTTGTTAGTGGAATTTCTTACATCAACAACAGCCACATTGTCCAGACAGGATTCCGTGTTGGTAAATCCAGGCCATGTACCTCCCTGGTAGACTGCTTCCATCCACTCCCCCCATTCGTGTTTTGGCTTAAGACAGTGTGTTATTGACAGAGATGTTGTCGGAGAGGAATTTATCAAACCACTTCCCTAAGTTCTTGATTAGGTTATCGACCAATGTTGGTACCATCTCATTTTGCACTTTTAGCGTCACCTGACAAATTCGACTTTTTTTTTCGAAACCAGGCTTCTGGACTTATGTGATTTGAACTTCAGTCGATCCCATCACACATTTTTTTCTAGCGCCTTTAACACCCATCTGGCTTATACATGGGATGTTGTTGCTATAGTCATCCATGATGCCTCTTAATAGTCGTTGTTAGATACTGGATTCCATCCTGGGTAACTTCGTAATCAAAGTCTAGGTTACAATCAAGCAAAAATGAGGCTCAAATCAACTTTTGTTTCAGTTAAGTGAGAGTTATTTTATATTGTAAAATTGGTAAAATGTCGAGGTATTATAGGGGTTTTATTAAGTTAATATTTTCTAACTTCTTGTATTCTTTCAAATGTTTCTCCTGGTGCAAACTAGGACGTTGATGATATTGAAAGGCGTACGATGGGCTCTTTTTTATGATTTATCGTCTGTTGTGTTGCATGCTATATTTTCACACATGTATGCCTACATGTGCATCTTCTGGCCTCTTTATCCATGTCAGCTCATCTGATTGACAACCAGCAGAGCTGATATTATGGCCCATTGTCTGATGTCTGTTTTTGATCTGTTTAAAATACACATATGATGTAACTTGACATTTTTAATCTTCCAATGGTTATGTATTTGATTGCTCTGACCTCCAGCTCGGGTTAAATGACATTTTTGCGCAAGATTTGTTTGATTGGATTTTTTTTGTTGTGTTTTTTTTCGGGGGGGGGGGGTAGTTTTGTTCAAATATTGATGATTAAAAAAGAAAAGACAACACTATTTCCACAATAAAATGCATTGTATGATATCCAACCCATCAGTATTTTCATTAGATCCTAGGGATAACAGAGCTCCACAAATAATGGTATTTTGATTATGCTCTGATTAATCAAATGCAGTTTCAGTTCTGCTCTGATTAATCAAAGTCGTTTTCAATTATAAGTTTTTTTATAAGTAATTGTAAAATGTTGTATTTCTACCATATGAAATAAATAATTTGTAACATTTTTCTTCATCATGAATTAAACTATGGAAGCAATAGTTTAGTTTACAGGACCGCAATGACATTACAATGGTGTTGCCTCCCTTGAGGTGACGTCATCACCTAGTCTTGCCAATGGCGTCACACTGAATACATGGTAAGTGTAAAGGCCGAGTATGATCATTTTTCACGCGAGATTATCTATTTCAGTTTGAGAAACGAATAACAGATTTCAAATAAGCGACCCGTCGGATGAATTTTGAGCACTTGTCCGACTGTATTTATGCAGGGTTTCTCGCCAAATTAAGCAGAAATAACGTCAGTAGCGACCGACAATGAATATGGCGATGGTGCTGTTCAGCAGTGTATTTGGTTGTATTTGTTTGGGGTGTCGAACTTCACTCGTGTTAAATTACACGATGTCATTGACACACATGTAAATTTAACATGCAATAAATAGAAACATTTCCCCTGGTTGTCATTAAATATGTTTAAGGTCGAGGAATCGAACGCAAACTGCAATGAGAGCTGCAGCCATATCTACATTGTTGTGGAGTTATTGATTGCTAAAGTGGTACTCGACGGGGTTGTGCGCAGACAGGGTTCAAACCTCGTACTACATTGTAGACAGCAATTTATTAAATATGTTTTAGAATTATAGATATTCCGTAAACGATACGACTTCTTGTACTGATTTGATTCAATTTCATATAAACCAAATTTCAAGATTCGAGCCTTTTGCACAGAGCGAATGGTTATGTTTGGCCACTATAAATAGATTGAGCACAAGTGTGTTCCATTGTGGGGCCTTTTAAAGGGGTTTTCATTACTGGGTCATGTGTGTAAAAAAAATGTATTATTTGTCGCACATCAGAATGATTGATGCTTTTTGATATAGCCACAATTCAATGAGACATATTATCCTTAACTTTGACAGAAACATTGGAAATTGTTGGGTTTTTTTTAAATTATTTTTTGTTGCTCCACTTTTTTATTTACAAATTGAAAGGTAAACTTCTGCATTTTCACGTCAGTAGTTATGAATTTTGCATAAATATTAAAACAGTGATCATAGGTCTGCATTAATTAATTGTGTTCTGATACTATTTGGAATTCACCTTATCGCAAATAACTGTCCATTTTTTCATTTAATTCATAAACTGCAAGAAATGTATTTACCTAAACTTTTAAGCAAACTTGATAAATGTCAGTGCATGGATATTTCTTTTAGATACCAATCTGATCAGACATATATAAATGAAATCAGGTTTGGTAAAATTCATTATATAATGTAGTGAACATTAAAATTGGATTATTGTTCAGTCTTGTGGAACACAATAATTTGTCTATGAAAAATATGACAGGCACAAGCAGAAAGCACAGCCTACAGGTTTGTCAGTAGTTCGAGTCTATGAATGATGTTTTGACCATATTTTAACGTTGATGATCTATGTTTTGTTCATATCAGAAGTTAGACATTAGTGATAAAGCTATATTAATTACTTCAGCTCTTAAATAGTGTATCTGGTTGAGTAAATGAACAAAATTACATCTTCATAATTGTCAACATTAACGCCTGAATATTCAAATACCATTTGAATACACCAAGCAATATTTTAATGCGAAAATCTGCTATTTGTTTCAGCTGTAGGTAAAACACTAATTTTTTTTGCCAATATCAATAACAGCATAATGAATGGAAATAATGACATTAAAATATCATTTGAGAGACAAAAAGTTTTGGCCTACTGCCTGACCATATGGGTTTTCCTTGGGTACTCAAGTTTCCTCCCTCAGTAAAGATCCTATGCATGTTTCCTTCGGGTTTGACAAGTGTGATCAATATGTTGTAAAAATGTTATGCAATTCTTGTAAAATAAAATTGGTAAATATCTATTTAATATCAGGTTAATTTTGAAGTTACAGAATAAGTTGGAAGTAGGTGTGGGAAATATTGTCACAATAGTCATTATATTAATATTGGTTTAATGACAGTGTATTGCAATATGATTTTCAGTATTGCTATATATTGCAGCAACTGTCTACAACTGTTTTAGGGTTTTCACTGCAGAACTTAGGATAATTTTGCAGATAAAATTTGATTTAAACCTATATTTAACTTTTTTGATGTGTTCTTAAACTTATGTGGTATTATGTAACATCATTGCATTAAATGAACCTGTTGCTGTCTTATGTACATGTTTGTTCCTGCGTAAACTGTTGTAAAGAAACCACATAAGTCAAGAACATATTATTGATTATTAATTAAATCTATAGGTTGTTATTTGATTACAACCTTCAGATCATTTGGTATACAATTGCAATTGGTTCTATGCAATTTGTTTCAGTCACAAACGTGATACTCATAAAAACCAGTTTGTGACATCTTATACTAGTACTAAATTTTTTTCCCAATTCAGGAAATTTTTGTCTTGGTCCACATATAAGCCGCATCGGTATGTAAGCTGCATGCCTGGCTCACAAGGAAAAGAACTGTGGCTTACAACCATGAACGTATGACACTTGAGTCTCTCGATTTAGATAAACATTTTAACTATCTAACATAAATTACATGATTTCTATTCCAGATTTATACACACAAAATTAAAGTAGCATTTCTGGTAATCATTTGTCAAGTTGTAAGCATCAAACATTTCTTTATATAAAAATATTATTGATTACTTTCACTCAAAAGAAGGGAGATAACCCTTGCCCAAGACTTTTTGATTATCAACTAGTTTTATAAGTTAGCAGCTTCAGGTGCTTGCATAAACTTATTACTATTTCTTGAGAAGTGTTACATTGTATGTAAGTTTGCTGTGATCTCTATTTAGGAACTGATCAGAAAAACAAGATGGCTGAGAGGTTGTTATCGGTCATTTATCCTAAGAGAATTGGATACTTCACTGATTGGATTGTCATGTCATGAGAGATGCCTACTATTATCAATATTTTTAGTATTCTGATAACAACATATTCTTGCTGTTTTTCTTCATTTTATATGTGATAAAGTATAACATTTGCAACTACACAGAAATTATTTGTAAAGAATCCAATTATTAATCTGATGTATTTTCATAAGTTCCAGGTGACGAACCATTGAAACCAACATGGCTGGCCTACAAATCAACAATGTGGTTAGTCTAAATGAGGGAGCAAGACCTGACCAGATGACCATCAAACCAGAACCAGTTGATGATGGATATGATGCCGCCCTCACAAGTACCAATGATGAATCCTCAATACCATCAGACATGGCAGCTGGAATGGCAGGAGATGCAAGCAAGAATGCCACTGACATCACATTTCCAAGTGGAGACTCAAGCAAGAGGTTACGAGGCATATTGAGCAACATGCTCAGTGATACTAGCAAGGAACTTTCAGTAAAAACTGTAATTGAGGACCTCCTACAGAAAAATGAATATCTTCTTGCACAGAACAATGCTGGGTTATATAAACCCCAACCAAGAAATATGTCATACAAAAAATATGATGACACAGGTTCAAAGTATTATGCACAGTCTTCAGCCTCAGTTTATAACATAAACAACGGTCCAGCTATGTCAAAAGCAGGCATGTCGGCAATCCTACGTCCAGGTAGTCCCACACTTACCTGTCCTGCACCCAAGAAAGAAAATGCATCAATGTCAATGTTGGAGCTAGGTGTGTTAGATAGTACCACAGAAAAAACTCTTTGTAATATCACACAGGAGGTAGTGTGTGGTGTAGCCTCTAAGGCCTTCATTATGACACAGGAAGGAGTAAACATTCAGACAGATTTACAATTCTACTGGTGCAATTTCTGTCCGTTTAAAACAGAATCTAAACAGAATCTGTCGGGTCATGTTTTGGAACACAGATTTCACTGTAAGACATGTGAATATCAGTCATTTTCAAGAGCAGATGTTATAAGGCATGCTGTCCAAGAACATTCAGATTTCTATGAAACAGCAAAGACATTGAAATTTTGCTCTTTTTTACCAGATTTCGAAGAAAAAACAGAAAATTCTGTAAGCAAGTCTTCTAAACGGAAATTGAACCAAGAAAAGGAAGTTCCTGTAAAGCGAGCTAAAGTCGATAGTGACAAGGATTTAACGGGAGATACAAAAAAGACATTGGAAGTTAAGGAGAAAACAAAAAAAACACAGAAGAAAGATGATGACTATGAGTGCTTTGAAATGGAGGTAGATGAAGTTGATGATGATAATAATAACAACTATGGAAGTGAAGAGGATGAGGAAGAAGACAATGAGGAAAGAGCGACAGAAACTATCATAACACCAAGCTCCAAAAAAGAAACTGCCAAAACAATGCCAATTTCTGTCCCAAACTTGTTGAAACAGTCACCTGTCAAGACGCCAACACCAGTATCTTCGAGTTCTAATATATCTGCAACCTTATCAACTAAATCTGCTTCCACTCCATCTACAAAGGGAGGTAACACTGTAACCGTATCATCTGGCTTGTGCTGGAACTGTGGATACTGTGAATTTGTCACTTTGAGTCAAACTTTTCTCAAAACCCATCTTAACAGTCAACACACTGGAAAGGCACACAAATATGTTGCTATGCTTGTGTCATCTCAGGAAGAAATGAACCGCATCAAGGAAAAGGATTCCACAATGTACCAAAATCCAAATACGCTAGTTTATGGAAACATTGGTGCACCACAATCATCCTCAACATTTAATCCTGCCATTTCTTCTTCCATCCCACATGTCTCCATGACAACTTCTGGTTCTGGAAATGATAGTACTAGCATTCCTGACCGTGATAATGCAGATTATGATAGTGAAAGTGATGAAGATTTCATTCCAGCAGAGCAGAAGAAAAAATACCCACTTACCTACAAATGTGCACACTGCAATTTTAATGCTCCTGTCTGTTTCAAGATCAAAGAGCATCTGCAAATCAAACATATAGGTTGTGTATTGTATAGTTTGGATATGCGTGCTGTGAAGCTCAAACAGCGTCGATATGTGTTCTTTTGTCATCGCAAGAATTGCTCTTTCACTACAAAGAAAACTGAAGAATATCTAAACCACTCAGAGAGCTGCACTCCTTGGCTTGAAACTGGATGTCCAGAAAAAGTGGATGCTGCTGCAAAGAAGTGTCTTGAACTAACAAGATCATTTTCATCAAAGATATCTCAAAAGGCTTTCCAAATGGCCAAAAACTTTAAGTCATCCAAAACTGCTGAATATGCATGTGTACACTGCTCTTATACCTCAAACAACAATACCCGTGTCAAGAAGCATGTGTTGTCTAACCACAAAGACAACGACACCTTAATGAAGGATCTTCAGGCCCACCGCATGAAGAAAAAAATGTATGTGTACTTTTGTAAATACTGTCTATGGGAGACGAGAAACGATGGAGAACTTACAGACCACTTAAAAGACAAGCACAATGATTCCAGTGTTGTTAATCCGGCTCCCACACTTCAGGAGGAAGAGCCTCCGATGATGATGGAAATGCCAGCAACCTCCTCCATTGTGGCCAACTCGCCGACTGTGAGTATTGAAATGGATGAGTCACCACCTACGACTACACCTGATGAATCTGCAAACAATTCAGATGCTGGTGAATACGATGATAACTTTGATGATTTGGAAGTGCCACAAGATGTGATTCAGTCATTAATGGATGAGTATGTTACTCATGAGGCTTCTCATGGCGTATCACCAGGAAGACCAACACGTAATGCTGCAGCTAAGGCACAAGTTCGATGTCGAGCTCAAGGTCAGTCTCCTCAGCTGTTCCGTTGTATACATTGCCCGCATATGTGTTTTGGTGTAAATCTGGTCAAGAAACATATGAAGACAAAACACAGCATTGAACCGTTACGTTCTATGGATCTTAAAAAGAAGATAGCACGATCATATGCCTATTACTGCTTCTGTCCGAAGGAAGGGTGTGTGTTCTTGCACACTGCTGAAGAGGCTGTTATTAAACATGCATGTAATGATCATGGATTTTCTCCAGAAAATCAGGAGCTACAACGACTAAATCAGCCTGTAATCAGAGGAGGGGGAGGAGGAGGAGGAAGTCAGCTGCGGCATGATGCTCAATATGAATGTCTGTATTGTAGTAGTAATGGTACAGGTGCAATCAAGACCAGCATGGAGAAAATGAGAAGGCATATCCTGGAGGAACATGGTGGAGAGGAGGTCATTTTCCGTGACTGTGTTGCCAGGAAGTTGAGAAAGACCTCACGCATCTTTATGTGCTCCCACCTAACATGTGGCTACAACACCACTGACCAAAAAGAATATACTTTGCACCGTCTGGCACATGAGAAGTCCCATATATATGAGTGTGCAAAGTGCCAGTGGTTTACTGCCAATCCAGACACCGTAGCAGCACATATGTCAGCCATGCATGCTGGGTCTCAGGTAACAACCATGGAGATCTTTCTTGATTTGGACGAGAAAGGAAATGTCGTCAAGAAAGTTGGTGGTACTGTCATTAAACAAGAACCAGAATAAATTACTAAATGTAAAACCTCATTTGTTTAAAAAATCATGTAGATTTAGGAAATTAGTGCTATCATATTATTCCTGGAATTCATGTAGTGTCCGTGCAGTCAATAAATTGAGAATAATGTACTAGTGTAAAAGAGGGCCATACTAAGGAAGAGTTAGTATTCTGTTGATATTTGATCATTGTATGGTAGATAATTTGTATAGTCTGAATACTAAATTGATAACCACACATTTATGTCTTCAAGAAATCTCATTTCAATTTCACAGGAAATATAGGCTATTAACTGTATTTTATCGTGTGTCATGTGATAAAGTGTTGGTCTTAAATGTGTTGTTGCTTTTATGAAGATGTAACCAATATGTCAGATAATGATCAATTATAATTTTAGACATTAATATTTCCTAATTATTCTTGAATTAATTTATTCAGTATTTTGAAAGTTAAAACTTGTGTTCAGGACTTATTGTGTGGAGAACAACAATAAGTTATCCATAAATATATTTTTTACCGACATGTGTCAAGAAAATTATGACACTAAGCATACTGTATTATTGGTATTATATACAGCAATAGTTGACCTGCTGCTTAGACCAGTTAAGAAAAATGAATAGGAATTTTTCACAACTGTTGATCAAATGCTAAAGGTTTGACATACAATAGTGGTAGTGGATATTCAATATGTTTTTGTCCTCTTGGTGCGTATGTGCTTTTTTCTCTGGATGGATGTGATTAAAAATTTGTCTTGTCAAAACATTGACTAGAAGTGCCCCAGACTGATAATGGAAGCAAACTGCAGAGTTGCAACATTTTAGAGAGTATGTCTTACATTCCTGGGATTTCAATATTACTGTATGAAAAGGCTACAGACATTGTTACTTTCATGATTGAAGCATTAAGCAAAAAAATATGTACAAAGAACAATGATTTTAGACTATGATCTCAAAGTCATTTCTGGATAAAGCACATGTCTAAGTTCAGATATGTTGCTGTTAAACTTGAATATATAGTATTGTATTCACCAGAATTAGCAAATAAATGTCAAAATATAATCATGTTTTTGTTCTAATAGTCCATGGTGTGAAAGTCAACACTAAGTGAATTGATGTTCAATGTTTGTCAAGTGTTCCCCCTTTTGTTTTTTCAACTTCAGAATTTCTGAATTTGCTAGATGGACTCTTTGTTCTATATATATATAGTATTTCAACATTTGTTTTCATCCAGTTACATTCCAATTAGATCATGGATCCTCTATTTGATAGTGGTAGGTGCCTCTAAATTACTTTTAGTCTGTATCTCTTCTTAAATTATGTTTTTTTTTGTCTTTTTTAGTTGAGGTTTCTAATAGTCTTAGAAGCAAATACTGTAAAAATACCACAGGCTGTATGTGCTGTTGGTAGCCACCGTAGTCATTGAAGTCAAAACATATACATACACAAGAAGATAGTGCCTTTTTGTGCCAAAAATGTATAATTTTTTGGAAAATGCAACAATATTATTTCACTTTTTTAAGAAAATTGAACATGAACATGCTGATAATAACATGTTAGATATGTATATGCCAAGCAAGAAGTCAGTTTTTACATCAGATGAAATTTTCTGAAGGTCAAAAATACAACTTCCTATTGAAGTCTATTGGTAATTATGTGCAAAAAACATTTTCAAACAATATGAAATGAATTGCCAAAAAATGGTAATTAGGATTTTTGTGCAAATTAATTTAAAATTGATTGACAATATTGTTGTGCATTTTTTTAAAACAAAAAACAGACAAAGGGTAAAATCTGTTTTGGATTGAAGTATTATAAAGTAAACTGAAATAAGACACTAGGTTTTATTAGTACAAAGGGACTGTCATTTACACTCATAGTCCACTAACATGAAATTTCAAGTTTTAAAATGGCCGTCATGTACCCCGATAAGCATAAAAATCAAATGTTCTGTTAACTGCTGAATCAATATTCTAACAAGAATACTAAATGATAGATTGAAGTTGCTTAACACATCAAAACACCTAATCTGGCTTCTTAATCCTGGAATCTGATTGGCCATGTCAGTGTTGATCTTCATCTTGCAGTAATGCAATTCTAATTGTCCAAGTCAACCATACCTAATGCCTTGAAGATGACCGTTGGTAGCGAAATCAATATTACTTGAGGTTTGTCTTTTACCTTTTGGATGTGAAGTCTTGCTGGTTTGGAAATGAATGTAGTATTCTAAATAATACAGGATACTGGTTATGAGGACACATACCCCTAAGGTTTTGTGGTTATGACAATCCTTTCTCGAATTAATGGTGTCGGAGCTGTCATGCTGGATCCAACATTGTACTTGATAATGCTCATATGCCTCGAGTGGATCTGACATCATATAATGTCCAATGAGTGCCGATAGATCCAGATCTCATAGTCATCATCATGCTTTTGTCCAAAGGTATTCCATGTCTAACTTTGGAAAGTTCCAATTATCTGCAGTAGCATCTAATTTGACAAATAGTGACTTGGCCTTTCAGGTAAGATCTGGCTAATTTTTCAAGCTGAGTTAAGTTGTTTTGAACACTAAGGCACGCTTTCAATTTGGCAGTCAGTGTCCTATCACTGGGGTCAAAACCGTTAAACAACTTTTTCAGGAACGAATGGGCCTAGAGGCATGATATTTAGCTGGTAAGTTTCTCTGATGAAGATTGACAAAATATACTAAAGTAAAACCTTTAAATGTCTTCTCATGAACTAAAAAGCCTAGAGTAATGACATTTGCCTGTTATGTTCCCAGGATGAAGCCCGACAAAGTTTACGAACAGAAATTACTTTGACTTATATTCAAGGTCACCAGAGTCAAATTTGTTAAAACCTTTAAACAACTACTGATGAACTAAAAGGCCTAGAGGCATGATATTTGGCTGGTATAGGTATATATACCATGTGAGTGCTGCAGGCCCTTTGGGCCTCTTGTTTTTACTGTAATAATTTAATGCTAAATTGATGCTTTTTATTTGAAATGTGTAGAGAAAACAATTTCAGACATATACATTTTTGACCATATAATATTGTTATTTTGAAGGATACTCGGAGCCCTGTGTAGGATCAAATAGTTCCAGTATCAGAAACTAACAAAACTAAACTAATTTTGAATAAGTTCATTTATTTTCTTTAAATCCCCAACCATATTCCTGGTTTGGCAGTCTGTATGTTATATAAGATACACATTGTATATGTCCTGTACCAGCTAGCTGTTTTATCTCTCTTGAAATAAGGATGGCATGGAATTGATCCTAGCCAATACTTTAACTAGCATTATTTCATACTTTTAAACCCCTTAGTATTGCACAAAGACATACAGCAGTTGACCTTGTATATACTGCATACATTCTTCAAAAGGTAGATAAGAAAATACATATCAAATATGCATGTGTACATGCTCAGCAAAGGTGTCATTTATTCATGAAGGAATGGTGACCCTGTACTGAACCAAATCATGTAAGATATAATTTGGCTTACCATACATGAAGTTTATAATTTTGACAGAAGATGGAGAACAAAAGTATAGGATTTCGTCTTTGTGTTACTTCACTAGGATTTTTTCTTTCTTGTGACAGAAATGACAACTGAATAAAACAATACTGATAATATCTTATATTTTTTACTTACGTTTGGTATATTAAAACTGACCATATTAACATTAATTATGATATAAATTAAAAAAATGTCACCCACACTAATTAAGGTACTATTTGCTCCTCCAGGTAAAAATACTGGTACATGTAAGTAACTGCTACATGAGAGAAAAGAAAATAATAATCTGTCGGAATATTTCCAGCAACAAGAAAGTTAGCATTTGTAGTAACAGTCAGTTCCAAAGGCTATGACAACTGGCTAAAACTGTAATTGTGTTACCTTAAGCCTAAAAGCAAGAAAACATCTGCGTTTTCATTGGTAACTAGATCAATTGGTATGTTCCATGTCTACCTCTCCAGTGACAGAACACATGCTCTATCAAACCAACATGTTATATAATAAATACTTTATATTTTACAAACTCAATTTTAAGCACTCTTAAGTGTAAAGCTTAATTTTGTCAATGTCTTCTCCTTGGAAACTGAACTAAACCTGTCCAGATAAGAATAGATTTCACCTTATATTATCTAAATGTTTCGATGGTAGCATTGTTATCAACTCTCCGACAACACTGAGATATAATTAAACCACAAAGGGAAGTAACTATTTACCAACGCGTACAACACATCATTAAATCATTAATCAAAAAACCTCGGTATACCATGAGTCACTAAAAAACTTTAGATTTAAAAAAAAAAGTATGTTCATAAGTATATTTCAGCTATGTATTAAATATCTATATCTTTCCTGTTTGTACTTTCTCAGGTCACAGTTCCACAACATATATGTATAAATATTCAACAGTCCAAGGACATCATTAGGTCATCATCCTCCTCCATCTCCTCTATACCACTCATCTGACTTCGAGGGGTGCCCTGACTATCAGGTATTTTTTCAGACTTGGGTGTCCCTTGTGACTGACTTGAATATTGAGAGCGAGGTGTGTTTGGTACAGGTCTCAGGACTGTCAATCAGATTAAATTTATAATCATTTTAAAGCTTTTTAACCAAAAGTATAAAAATTTAAACATTAAATGCAAATTCATTACTTGAGAAAAACATATCCTTTCTAAATAGATGTCAAACATTAAAGTCACTAAACTGGACATTGTCAAATAATTTCTTTAAAGGGAAATAAATCATTTTGGTCATCTGGATATAGATATAAAGATGTAAACATTTCTGTATTATTGTCATTATGTAATGCATCTATTCTGATTAATCACTTTTGTATTAAGTATACTATAGAATATAGGATAATTATTTGAAAATGGATAGAAAAACTGATCATAAAAATGTTATGTAGTGTATCTTGTTCAAATCACAATCACCAATGGTGTCGCAATAATCTGAGAGGATTGACAAATGACATTCAACTTAAAAGTCCGTAGTTTTGCTTACTGCAGGACAATGGACTAATTTTTTTTGTATTTGTTGGTACTTAACTTAACAACAATAGTATTCTTGATGAATAAATCTAGTAATATCAACTTTGTTTATACTGACCTTCCCTCTTGTCCCCACGAAGTATTCTCTGGCTCTCCTCAAAGTACTGGTTAGGGTGATTTATACTGTTAATATCCTGTTCCTCTACCCCTGTGTGTCTGGCCAGGAAGTGTTTCGTACATGCTACTCCATAGTGGCCACCCTTTACCTCATTCATGATCTGTACATAAAAATTGAGTAATCCAAACCTGTATTTACTAAAAACTCTAAATCTAGGTAAAAAATTGTAAAGCAACATATGAAAATGAAAATCAGAAAACTGTTTCAACTGTTTGATCAGACTTCAAATAATTATGAAATTAGTTTTTACACACATGTAAAATACACCTTAAAACAAGAAAGAGTTCAGTGGTAGCTCATCCACTGGCTAGTGATGATAAACAATTATTTAGAATTTACAGCCTATCAAACATCTTTTTACAATACAAATATAAATTCAGAAGGTTTGGTTGGCAAAGTCACATTCAACCCTATCTAAGCAAGAATCATACCTTGTCTATATAATCCTTTGATAAATTTTGTGCCCGTAACTTCTGTGCCAGTAATGCTTCATCACAATGCTTAAATGGACAACCTGTACAAGTATACAAGTGACACATTGACATTACCAAGACAAGATTTATGACATTGCTCCTGTGTGAATTAAAGAATGTTTTTGATAGAAATATTAAGGATTATTCAGATATAAAAACTCCTCCCCCACCTCAATAGTTTCAATTATGTATCTGCAACAATGAAGAGGTTAAAAAAATAGATTAAGTAGACTGATTTAAGCAGAAGAAAAAAGTATCAAGGAATAATGCATAGTATTAGATTCATTTGATGTCAAAAACAACAAAGGTAAGTAAAGGCTAGTTCATGCAACATTTCATTCAATTAATATCTGTAAATATTCTGTATGAACACGGGCCATCAGAGACAGTTATGCTCCCCAAATGGGACAAAATTTAAGTGTGAAAAATGATAAAAGGGCAATAAGCGAGTTCTTATGCACTGTCCCCCCTCCTCCTCATTGAGAACTACCTATGTATGAATTTTCATGTTGATACCTCTCATAGTTTTAGTGTAATGTCAGTAAACTTGCATTTACATCTGGGTCGCTAGTTAGCTTTAATTCTTAAATCCATCTATGACATGACCAAGTGTTTGATACACCTAGAGGAAGGTATTCTTCATGTTTAAGAATCTTGATGGACCAATGGAAACCATCTGTGGTTGTGAAATTTGACTACCCTGACCAATGTGTACAGAAACAGGTTGGCTTTTTATGCATATTAAGAACAGAAAAATTTCTCTCACCAATGGGCTAGTCAGTGTCTTGGAACAGCTAGTCCTGACCTGAAAATCACTAGCCCTGGGCGTCGGGCTAGCGGAATTGAACACCCCTGAACAACATTTCGTTGGATACCTTTCCTTAATATTCCCACTAATATTTAGCTCAGTGGCAGTGGTGAAGTTTAAAATATGTTTTTCAAGATGGCGGCCATCTTTGATTTCAAACATACTTGAAAAATATCAACACTTGGTCAGCACTATCTCAGGATCATTTCATGCAAGTTTGAGCTCAATTCCACCAAGTATTATTTTTCAAGTATGTTTTTCAAGATGGCAGTCATCTTGAATTTCAAACAACACTTGGTCAGTACCATCTCAGGATCATTTCATGCAAGTTTGAGCTCAATCCCACTGGTGGAACTCAAGAAGAAGTTTGAATGTCAAAAGTTAACTCATGTCTGACGACGATTGTCAAAGCACGATGACTAGGTCATAATAACCCTTCGAATAAGATGACCTAATAATAACAAAGAGCAATAACTCCTAAAGTAAGCAAAAGAGAGTGATGGTTCTGATGCACTGCACTTCTCCTTGTTGAGATTTACTTACCTATGAAGTTTCTCTCATCAACTACATTTACAACAATTCAATAGGTATAGCAGTATTGATAGTGATAATATCACTTTAGTTCTTTGATCTGACAAACTACTTCAGTATGAAAGCAACTACAAGAGAAGATAAACACCTTACCATGGAAGTCTCCCTGTCCAGGAGCATTGGACATGATGATCTTCATACAACTGTAGGGAGTATAGTTGGCCCTCTTCCCCTCCTTACCATAATTATGGCGAATATTGTAGGAGTAATTCTTGTCAAACTGAAACACATTTTGTCCATTAAAATAAAAAACTTGATTTCTATCTCTTGAAAACACTAAAAGTTTGAAAATATAATTGAACTTCTCCAAAAACCTTACATGGGACATCAACATTTGGCTGGTTCATGGAGAGTTCTGTATGCAGATGAAACAAACTCAGAATCCATCATAATTTCATTTTCTCTCTAAATTTAGAGGCAAAGCATTCTTATTATCCTCTTGATTTGAGTGGTACCTGCATGGTTAAACTAACATGAAATTTGCATGTTAGTGTTCATATATATATTCTGTGGAATTGATCTTTACTTGACTTTTTAACCTAAATTTGCAGAAAAATCACAGCTCAATTTCACTTTCAATCCTTTGATGCAGATAAAAAAGCCATGACATCCTACTTTTGGAACAGGAACTTTTACCTTGTCACCATCTATAAGTTTGGTGAACTCTTTTCTCCAGAAGGTCATCGCTTCCTCGAGTGAGAGCCCTATGCCTTTTAGGAACAGCCCATACTGCTGGCGACCTCCATGACGTAGATGGTGGTCTCGTCTCATTGACTCGTGCAACTGCTGCATACACATGGGAAATGACTGTTTGGAGAGCTGTAAACACAAAATACAAACTTGTTTAAATTTTGATGAATTGGTTAAGATTTTTTCAAAAAATTCTTTTAAATATGTAAATTATATCAACAATTGTCATAAATAAAACCTCAACACAAGAATTACCAGTAAACTTATTATAGCTGTCCCCCACACTGCTGTCCTGATGTACAAGAATATCACAACAGTTGCTGCTAGTCATTATTATGAATAATTCACAATGACAATAAACTGTATAAAAGTATTCAGCTCTAAATTTTCAGAGCTGATTGTTTGAAAAAAAAAAGAAAAGAAAAGGGAAAAAAGTTACTCATATGTCTGATACAGTGTGTTCAATGATTCAACTTGATTACTTGCTGTCACTGACTTTTTTCTATGGAGATCATCTACTGCAGGAAATGTGACCAGATCCTGTAACCTTGACTTGAGCTTACCATCTCAACCATATCTGCTGTGATTTGCCCAACATTTGTCTTTTTCGAAGTATAGTCTTGCCCGACATAGCGCTTACTTAGTCCACACACCATTGGCAGTAGTCTGTCATCCTCCTCCAGATGAGGGAGGGCTCGACAGGTGACCTGTTCAAGAATACATATACATTTACATTGTAATCTACAACATGGGTAACTACAGCTAAATCATATCCAGGACATCATAGCATTAAAATACAGCTCTGACACTCAATATCATCATCTAATAAAATTTCTAAAATCTCAAAAACTATTTCTGTTAAGACAACATTGACAGTATAAGGACAACGCTTACAGCTAATGAATGTGACAGGTGTGCACGGTAGTGGGTCAAGAGGATAGAGATCATGTCCTCTCGTGGCACATAGGCAAATCCTTCTTTTAGGAACACCTTCCTCTTGCTGATAAGGTCTAGTACCTCCACAAATGGAACCTGAGGACAAGAATTAAATGATACATATATCTGAAAGTGTGTAGATATTATCGTTACAGAGTATAGATTTACAGTCACACGAAACAAAGACACCTTCAAAAAATGAATAAAGACTGTCACTTCACTCTCTAATAATTTAAATAAAACATACTTAATACAAAATCTGTCATTATCCTAATCTTAACATGCAGTCAAGCTTGGACAGATATATTTATAGTCAATAACACAGAAATTTCCCAATACTTTCACACTTTCCTTTCAGCATCTCTGCAAAGTGGTAAATATACAACCCTCAAAATAAACTGGAGTGTGTACCTGGTTTGTACAGGTGTACTACTTATTCAACATGTACAGTACACATGCCTTAAGAATCTAAATCTTGAAATACACCTGATTGTTTCTGATTTTTAAACTTATTCGATAGTACACACCTTGAAATACTCTTGTGTGTGTGCTTGTGATGTGTTCCTTCCAGCTGCTGCTATCAACTCTGGAGTTATGTCCCTTTTTTCCTCATCAGAAATCTGTCAATTACAAGCTATAACTTAATATCTTTAGTATACAGAAACATGTCTACCCTTATCAACCAAAAAGCACATTTCTTTTACAATAATTTCAATTCTTCTACCTTTATATTATGGAAGTTAATGATTTCAATGTTTTTGATTTAGACCCAAGGACAGATTTCAAACATTATTGTCATAAAGGTGAATGTCACTAATACCGAATTACAATGCATAGTAAACCTCTTGCAGGTGATAGATTTCATTGAGACATGCTTAATGGTCTAAAAGTTAATCTGTTAAATTTGTACAAAAGTTTGCATAATTTATCTATGATTTGGTAAAAATCACTTTCAAAATGACTAAAGATATGAAGCTCTAAGAAATGATAAAGCACATCACAAATATATTATTATCATTATGCTATACTCTATCAAGAAGTCTACAATAATTTAGAAACTAAACTCTTGGCATTATATTACACGTTTAATATTTTTGTGACGATAGGAAATATGCTACCTAACTAGACAAACACATTAGCAGACAACCATCATTACATTGGTACAACCAACAATAATATATCAATCTGTATTCCTTCTCTCCCCAGAATTAATGATCATGGAAGCATTAAAGAGCCTTCAATCTGGAAGATAATACCATTCTAGAAGGGGTGACTATTGAGGCCAAAATAGCTATCACGATAGTAATGGGACAGTAAAATTACTAATGCAACGCTATCACGATACCTTTTTTACCTTTAACATGTTTTTTAACCCAGAAATAATGCAAAGTCACTAATCATTTATGTATGAGAATGCTCAATTAAGCACATGTTAAAATTGAAAAACAAAAATACAATTTTCATACAATCAAGTAGGTTCCACAGTGATATTTGTTACACTTTATCGTATTTTCTTATTATTAATTCTATACATAAACATGCTATTCTGTAAGACTAATATTCTCACATATACCTTAGTTTTACAGTAAATTCAATTCTTTGATTTTTTAATGGGATTGATTTTCAAAACGCTGCGACCTTCCGCCATGTTGTTTATTGGAATGGGTCATCTCAAAGATGGGTCTGAAACTTTGACGTTGAGCTGAAGAAGTCACCACCTTTCCTACTATAATTTGTAGATTTAATTAGATCATATTGGAACCAATAACGATATAGCACTTATTGAAGATATAAACTCTTATTAATGTAACAACTTGTGCTTAAAATTCTATTTAGAGTCAAGTCAGTGATATTGCAATTCTTGTATTTAGCACTACCTTGATTGAGGTCCCAAAGATGATTTCATAAATAAACGAAGGCTTTTAGCTGTTTGGCAATTACTTGGTGAAAATCTTGCTTTCAAATAGCATTTTTGTTTAATTATAAAACTATTGTTAAGAATCAATATTTCGTAATAGTTATCAACTTGAAAATATGCTATCGACCTAATGCAACCTAGACAAGACCAATGCATCGATATCTCAACCTATTATTACACCATTACAACCTAACAAGTCTTTGTACAGCACTGATTAAAAATTTTTGATGTTAATTGAAATTTGACGTGATTTGTGATTAAGCAGTACAGAGATAACATACTGGACTGTAGTTTAGATTATTTTCTCTGAGGAATTCTTGTCTGCTCTCTGGTGTCTCCCTCTGGAACCTCAGTCTCAATAACTCCAGCTCTTGCTGCAAAAACCATCTCCTCAGCTCCTCCCTCAAATAACAAGACATTTATAATAACAAGATGATTATGGCTACCAAACTTACAACAGTTCTACTATTTTCTATCTTTGTTATCTATCTGTGGAAAGTTAACTTCCTTTTCACTGAAGATTTACGACTGATGAAAACAATGAAGTATGAAAAAGAAAACTGACTAACAAAAATCTGTAGACTCATACTTTAGCCAATACAGTGTCTGGTTACTTACGATCTACAATAGGCCAGTCGTAGAATGAAGTGTGAAATGTGGTCCAGTCGTCGAAGGAATTCATCCTCTCTTCTGTCAGTCTGAATCAGAATATCAAAGTTACAATGCAGAACTTAAAATTGTCACACTGTGACACAAATAATCAGCTTCATTAAAATGCTATTAGCATCATTAACATATGCCATTTTTTGCCCAGACCAATTAATCATCAGATGGACCTCATACAGGATGGTAAATGGTTATTTTCTTCTATTTGCAGGAAATTTAGCTTTAGTACAAATCATACGAAAGATGTCTTATATTCCATTTTCAGTGATGTTTGAAAATAATAAAGGCAAACTGATTTCAAATCCACAAGTCACCATGTGTTTAACTTTTCCATGTCAGTCTCAAAAATCCAACCAGATTTGGTCAATTTCGATATCATAGAAATACATATTTTTCTTTAGTTCTAACTGTTTTAGGGCAGCTGTTTAACAGAAGTCAGTTGACTTACTATACTATTAAAGCCGAAACAATATCTCATAAAATTTTAATAAACTGAACTTTGCTTTACAATTGTAATATATGTAATGTATAAGCATTCAGACATTTGAAAATTACCTATTTCTGTGGCATTTCAATCATTTACAGAATGATTTTTTTTAAAGAATCAAGCAGTCTCATTCATTTTGTGTGCACTGACAATCAACTTCACCAAATTCTCCAATTTCAAACACTTATTCTCAATATTGTATGCGAGCACATCAATTTACTTCTGGTAGTGAGTATCAACAGTTATTGATTTGTAACTGTAACACTGTTGTTTACCATCTTATCTTCAAATAAGCCCCTTCATCTACTGTAAAAGTATAAAGGTTTGTAAACCACTCTGAGTTTGCTATTTTGAAAATTGATTCTGCAAAAATGAAGGTGGCTTATTTAATTTGTAGGCACGGTCTTATTTGTGGATAGATATGGTTCTAAATCTTACCCTCAAAATAGGACCAAACTTTGTTTTCTTTATTTCTTTTTCTACCAACTCTGTATACTTTTCAGTACCTCTGATATGCCGAACACCTGCTGTATCAAGAGCTTTCAATACTGAAAAAAACCAAGACCAGAAAACAATATAACTGATGTACTTTATTGGCATCAATGTGAGCAATTATTTTTCAATGTCTCTGACAAGGATCAAATTCTGATACAGCTTTATAACTTATTATTACCCTAGTACTGTCAGTCCAACATGCAATTTGCTTTCAGCTATATTTTTTATTACCGCCATAGATTTTTGTGTAGCTGGCTTCATGTGGATCATATCTGGGTGAGTTTTCTATTATTCAGTAGGTATGTGATACACTTATGGAAAACTTTGTCAAGCTGGACTGAACAATTTATTATATTGGGAAAAGTAAGGATGAAGATGAAAATTGATCAATTCAATCTTATTTTTTACTACATAACTATCATTAGGTGTTAATTATATATTATCTTTTACATCAATTAATTACATGTTTACTCCACCAGCTGGCACATTTTGCATTTATAGCTTTCATAAGGGGATATTTGAAAATTAAGACTAGTCTCATATCTGCTGGGATGCTGTAACATAATAACTGAAATAATAAATTTACTATGAATGATGCAATCTTGTCCATTCGAGATTTCCATACGTAGTAAGCAAAATAAGAAAATATACAATAAAATCCCTTGGCTGTTACATGCTCTAATCCCTTAAGCTAAAAGTGACAGAAGGATAAAGTGACTTCCGGTGTCAATGGCGACGGACGCAATCGTCTTCAGCTCCAAGTGAGCGGTGGTATATTTCTCAAATTTAAAGTTACATATATCGATAATTAGGGAACTGGTGTGTGGAAAGGTTGTTTGTAAGCCTTTTCCACCGAGGGGATATACGCCTGAACAAGTCTAGAAACCCGGAATTTACAAACATGCCGAGCAGACCAAAAGTAAACAAACAAGATGCTGACAACGGCGGACAATGGAGAAATGTACGAGCAACAACATCAATGGGAACCAAGGAGAAAACCAAAGCAGCCAAATTATTTTCCACCCCATGGTCAAGGGATCAATGGACGTGCAACGTTTGTAACAAACTATTCGATGACGATAAGGCAAAGATGCTTGAATGCCAGCGTTGTCAGGAGCATTTCTGTACAAAATGTTTGGACATGGCTGATAATGAGTACACTGTATTAACGAGTTCAGAAGCTATGTAGTTCTGTTCACAATGTTGTGTACTTATTGAGAAGAGTATCCATAATGACAAGTTGATAGAGCAGAAGTGTGAGGAGATAATGAAGACCTTTGAAGAAAGAGTTAAGAGAATAGAGGAGGAACATAAGAATAAATGTAATGAGAATAGAGTTAGAGAAATCATAAAGGAGGAAATGGCAGTGGAATCAGAAAGGAGGACACCACATGAAGCAACAACACAACAAGGAGCATCTACAAATACCCAAGAAGTTATCACAGTACTGGAGGAGAGAAAGAAAAGGGAAACCAACATACTAGCCTGCAAAATTAAGGAGCAAAACAACAATGAAAGATGTGAGCGAAAGAAACAAGACGACAAAATCATAAGAGAAGTCTTGGCTGTATGTAGGCTTAACTCAGGAGCTCTTGAAGGAATATCCAAAATTATAAGCAAAGTCAGAAGCATCTAGGGCCAATTTTAGCAACTTTCGGATCAACAGAAGACAAAAAGGTGTTCTTCAAGAACATAAGAAAATTACAAAGTCATGAACAATTTAATTTGTTGCGAATCAGCAATTGATTTAACACAAAATGAAAGGGAGAAGGAAGCATCACTCTGGGAGGAAGCAAAAAAGTTGAGTCTTGAAAAGTCACAGTCGGGGAAATACATATTCCGTATCAGAGGTCCACCATGGAACAGAAAAGTAGTACGGCAAATAAGGAAATGAAATTAGATCAAAACAAGTGAAAAGTCAACAAGCAACAAGAATTCAAGGATCACCTCAAATGTTTTTACACTAATATTGATAACCTGTCGAATAAATTAGATGAGTTAAAATTTAAATTGTCACAGTTAGGAAGAGGCGAGCAACAAAACTCATACTAGGATATAAAAACCTAACATACCCGGAACGCTTACGGAAACTAAACCTACCAACCTTGGAATATCGCAGAAACAGAGGGGATATGATTAATGTCTACAAAATCTAAAATAACATTTACGATAAACGAGTCACTACTAACTTTTACAAGATGGATATCAACAGTAAAACAAGAGGACATTCACAAAAAATATTTAAAAAAAACAATGCCTTTTGGATATCAGAAAAAACTTTTTCAGTTTTCAAGTTGTAGATAAATGGAATAGTTTACCACAATATATAATAGATGCAAATAATGTTATACAATTTGAAATATTACTGGACAATTATTTGAAACTCTGCTAATAAATTAATTAATAAGATTGATTACTGGTTAAATGTTAAAAATGCAATGTACATCGGAAGTAAAATTATTTTTGTATATGTACAATTCATTGATATGGATAGAGAGGCTTACAGCCTGCATCCATTATTTTTCCTATTAAATTCCTATTAAATAAAAATGTTAAACATTGCTTGCATTTCAAGGGGAAAACTGGTCTGTCAAGATTCGCATTGGCCCATACCTCTACAAAGAACAACAAGGGTTACATGTACACATTCAGTTAGACAGATTTTATCCCTGTAATTGTAATAGGATTAATGAAAAATACCCTGCTGTTTCGAACTAACGACCCTTCGGTCAAGATCTCTAGCCGGACACTCTACCGCTCAACTAAGGGAAGTTCCCACTACCCAATGCTGGTTAGGCTACCTGTACTATCAACTTCTACATAATGCTACCAGTTATATACTATAAACAAAATGTAACGATCATGAGGTAGTACAGATAGGGAACCTTTTAACCTCTCCACGGCGTATTCTTCAAATTCCTGCAAAGATATCGTATCTGTCGGTGGTGTGTGAAAGAACTGAAGCGGATGGGAGTATTGCTGTTCAAGCTTTACCCCCTTTCTTGTTCGTTTCGATCGTGTTTTTGCTTCGCTGAAATCCATGTTAATATTTTTTCTTCTTCCCGCCAACGAAAATGAACACAGAACATCACTATCTTCGAAACGTTTGGATTTCAGACAGCTGTGAAGCGACTGTTTCAAGCTTCCCAACAGCCTGGATGATGGTCACCGAATAAAAACAAAAAATGGCGATTCCGAGTTCGGTTCTCGCTGCAGGATGGATTCCATTCGTTGTCATCATCGTTGTAAGTTTACTAGATATGACAACGAATTCATTAAATAACTTCCCTTTTTATTTTTAATTGAAACTGACAATTACAAGAGACTACGTTACATGCATTTACCCTATTGTTTATCATCATGTGACATGACATCATCTTCCCAGTCCATTGCAGGTCCAGCTAATAATATGAAAGTAAACTGAAGTTACAATATTTACCACAGTAAATGCGAAGTAATGAAATAAACTAAAATATATGGTCGCATGGATCAATAATATACCCTGATATTTCTTTAGCGTTCAGCACAGTACCCTAAAGTCCCCAACCATTAGGCCTAGCGGAAAAATTTTGATTATTAACCGAGAACATAAACAGGTCGAGGAAAACCTCAAACTACCCTATTGTACGCCGATTTGGGTATGGATTTTTGACTAAAAATAGGCGAATAAACTTTTTATTTAGCTTCTTTAAATTATTTGCCCGTGTCACTTTTATTTATTTTGATTTATTCATGAAACGTCATACATTTGCGAATTTTATTAGAACATGAGAGAGTACCGAAAAAAGATGCACCAATTATGGCCTATATAGGCTATATAACAACAGTACAGTTACTACGGCAGTGACAGTTACATCATGTTTTAAGTATCCAGCACTTTCAGTAAGCATCTTTGAGTAAATTTGTTTTCTTGTCATGAATTAATGTGCCTTTCAGATTTCAAATATTACAAAAGTCACTATTTAAACAGTTTTTGGTTATATCTATTAACAAATCCATATCCCAGTTGGCGTATGTTTGGCCAGTTTGCATATTATATGCAAATTTGTGTTTTTTCTGACCTGATAAAGTACAAATGTTTTCATAGAAGGCATTCAGGTAATGTTTTATATGATGAATAACAGATCTTTAAAAAAAATCAGCAAGTGACAACAAGTTTCGTAAAGCATCTTTATAAAGAAAATATCTTTTAGAATACCCAGTAAAGTTAGTGACATGAAAAGACATCTGAAATTGACAGCTTGGCTCACATTTGTATATTTTATACAAACAGCATGGGTTATAGTGAAGCATCTTCAGGCTACATCTGTAAAATACTTAATAACTAGCAACATCAGAAAATATTTTATAAAATCACCAGAATACACCTGCAAGTTTCATTGTGATATTTGAAAAATTGGTTGAGGGAGTTGAATTTTCCTCGTCAGCAATACACCTGTGTATTGTGAATTACACTCAGGAGTAGTGTCTTAAAACTATATGTCTTTAAATACATATGTACTTAATAAAGTTAGTGACAAGAAAATATATGCTGTTGTGATTTTGTTGTTGCAGTTGGTGTTGCTATTTTCTACCATATATATAAAGTACTTTATGAGTAAACGGGACAGCACCATATCCAGTACGGTGTCAGCCATTGTAGCATTAAGTGTGATCATGTTGACTACAGCTCTCATCCCAGTTGACGTCTTCCTTGTCTCCTACATGAAAGATAGCAAAGGTCACTTCAAGGTCAGTATGTACAGGAGGTAGGATATTCAAGGTTACAATTACATGATATACTGTGATTATTTTATGTACATCTGATTTCTATGTTATTAACTATTGTCTTTTTGAAGCAATTTGTACAATAGTTGAAATAAATTGTATGAAAACCCAGTTTTAAAATGACTTTTAAGCTTGCTGATATTGATCATAGAAATTATTGAGAAAAGTTGACCAATTTGACAGTATACCAAAATTGCAAGACAATAAGTAGCATTTGTTGTGTAAAACTTGCATTGATCACTTTCTATTCAAAATGCTGTATAGTAGGTAATTTTTCCAATATCACATTACACTAACATAATTTAAAATTTTATGTGAAATAATGAGGCAAGTATGTATAAGATATCCTATTACACCAGATCACAAAAATTTGAATTTGTTAAAATATCATTGGATTGTTTTATATGAAAATCGTGAAAATTTGAGTAGTGAAAATTATCAGCTATATGGTATTATATTTTGATCATGATAATCTCAGTATGTATTTTGTGTGCTTAAGTCAAAACTTTTAAGAAAACTGACTTACACATGATTACTGTTATAGAGACAATATTTTAATCTAGTTGGTTACATGTATTATATGAATATTTGGGTGATTTTGACTTCTGAAGAATAGTGGTATGAAAAATGTAGTACGAATTCATCTGCAAATTTACAAGGTGTTCAGTATCGGATAATTTTCTGAATTCTACAACACAAATATCAAGGGTTGGAAGTGAATTTCTTTTAGATGCTTCACAATTCAGTTCATTTTGTTTTTTAATTCTGATTTAAGCGTGACTTGTAATAGTTATATTTTTTGTTTTATTTTCAGGATTGGGCAAATGACACAGAAACACGACAATCAATAGAAAATTCAGTGGCTTATGGCTATTACAGTAAGTTTTTTATTCAGTGTTCTTTAAGTAAGCAACGTCAGTTTTAAAATATGAATTTGTATCATTTCAATAAAGCAACAGACTTTCCAATGTCAAATGGCAATCTTTGCAATTTGATCCCTAGAAGGGGCTGTGTGTCATTCTCAATAAGTTGAAATCACAAACCTTCTTGTGCTGTTTATGGTTGTGTTAATGGCCATTACAATATACTCCAGTTGCTCTGGATAGCAATGTTCCCCCCACATGATGTTCAGTGAGATTACCACCATTATATTTCATTTTGAGAAGAGAGTTAATCAGCTGGGAAGGAAGTAATTATATATTTTGGAAAATGGGCCATTGTATGACGTAGATCCAATAATCCAATTAGGAATTTGGCCTATATTAGGCTCCACGGAGCCTCTGGAAGAAGCCCTGAACCCAAGAAAAAAAACACACAAAAAACAAAACAGAAAAGTTGTCGTGTTTTTTTTTGTTTTTTTGTAAAGATTCTGAGTACAATTAAGAAAGTTAACAAATAATATGTAATGAATATTATTTCTTTAATCCAGAATTCTGAAGATGATTAGGCTTGATGTTAACTGTATCTAGTGAATTCCAACATTAAATTCAAGAATTGTCTTTGAACCACAACAATGCCCTCTGAATTCATGCCATATAGGGTATTCCTATATTTTCACTTCCCAAGAATATGATGATATTGATTAATGTATTTCTTTCTTGACAGCATTGTACGGCTTGGTGACTTTCTGTCTGTTTATACTGCTTCCATTCATGTACTTCTTTTATGAGGAAAAGGATGAAGAGACCAGTGACAAGTCGGTAAGTATTTTTCTTAAGTGTCATTTGGCTTATCTTACATTTACTACGTGGTGCTTTGTCCATCATCTGTCTGTCCAGTGCAGCCATCATGTGTCTGTCCAGTACAGCATGTTTTATCTCTCCTTACATTTATGTAGTGGTGCTTTGTCCATCACCTGTCTGTCCAGTAAAGTATTTGGGCTTACTTGACACTATGTGGTTTTACATACAATGTAAAATTATTCAATTTATGTTGAAATTGTAATCGGTCATTGTAGTAAATGTTTGTTATAAAACTTTTCATTTATAGGAATTTTCACTTATAATACATTGAATTCAGTGCAATGATTTATCTATACAATATACAGTACCATCTTATTTGAAAAAATTACACTAAAAGTCATTGTTGCAATGAATGTAAAAATACTATTAAATATGCTAATGAAAACTACTTAGTAATTGAATCTCTTTATACCTGAAGGCCATTTTTCGTTTAATACTCTGGATCCTTTGCCATACAAGGTTGACTATATTGGCTATATCCATATCATGTTCTGGGACATTTAGTGTTACCCATGGCTGTTATTTTGCATTTTGTCATTAATTTATTTCTGGTCATTTGGTCTTTAATGGCACCAGTGTAAAACTGATATACAGTGTGAGTTTTGTGTGATAATTTGCAAGTTGAAGTTATGATTTGTTGTGGTAATGTATTTCCAGAAATATGACAATTTTACTTATGAATTTTTATCAAAATTTGCACAAAAATTGTAGGCACTTTGACTTACTTAAGAATAAGAAAAATACATATCTGCAGACAGAGATTCAATTTCATTTCGGATTTTTTTACCATAGATTCTACAGCATTGGCCAATATTTGATATCTGGTACGATACAGTAGTATATGTCCATTGTGAATTGTCACTAATGTCTCATTTAAATTTTAATCTTTCGTTTTTTTCAGCGATGTTGTTTAGCTTTGAAGTACACTGTAGTTTTCATCATCATTGTTGGTGTCCTTCTACTGATAGGGTAAGATGAAATACATGCTAAGGTAAATATAGAAAGGTTCCAGGTAAAGCATAGTACATGCCAGGGTAAATATAGAGATTCCGGGTATGTTGTAATACATATCAAGGTAAATATAGAGAGGTTTCAGGTAAAGCATAGTACATGTCAGGGTATGTTGTAATACATATCAAGGTAAATATAGAGAGGTTTCAGGTAAAGCATAGTACATGTCAGGGTAAATATAGAGATTCCGGGTAAGTTGTAATACATGTCAAGGTAAATATAGAGAGGTTTCAGGTAAATCATAGTACATGTCAAGGTTAATATAGAGTGATTCTGGGTAAGATGTTATGGAATGATGTTGTTGGTAGTATATAGTTTACAGTGTAAGCCCTGAACTTCTTTGGTGTATGATTGGTGACTACAAATTTAACACAATTTACATTAGAATTTGAGTCATGCATGAAAAGCTTTGAACTTATGCAGTTCTTGAAAAGAGAACTTTCTCATAATGTTTTCACATAAATTTCAGGGCATTTGTTCCTACCAAGAATCCTCCAAACCCTAATGCTACTGACTACCAGAAGATTGAAGCACTGTTCGCTGACCTGACAACAAATGGTAAATACAGTTTGTTATTTGGATGACCTCCATAAAACCATCATTTACACATTTCAGTTTACTGAGATTTATCACATATACAAAAGTTGCCAGTAAGCTATATACAAAGATGTTTTCAAGTTAAAGATAATGAAATTAGTATTTGTACATTGTACGTGATATTTAGCTCTCTCTGTATTGCTGCAAATCAACACCCTTTGTTTCATGTACATGGTGATTTACCAATTGATTCAAGCTTATTCTTGTCAAGATACTGGGAAGTAAAAGTTCGATAAGTCATGTTCAGACTTCAGAATTACTAGATATATAATTCCTGCACAATTTAGAGACATCCAGATGATCAGTTGTAATCTAAAAGTGATAAGTAACAGAACTTACTCCAATGAATCAAGTATGAAAAATCAGTTACTTGTATGGTATTATTGCCTGTTTGATTTCTCCTTATCCTCCACCTTAATCATCACTCCTGATGGATTTCTAGTCTCATCCTCCACCTTAATCATCTTTCCTGATGGAGCTTTAGTCTCATCCTCCACCTTAATCACCTCTCCTGATGGAGTTGTAGTCTCATCGTCCACCTTAATCATCTCTCCTGATGGAGCTTTAGTCTCATCCTCCACTTTAATCACCTCTCCTGATGGAGTTGTAGTCTCATCCTCCACCTTAATCACCTCTCCTGATGGATTTCTAGTCTCATCCTCCACCTTAATCACCACTCCTGATGGATTTCTAGTCTCATCCTCCACCTTAATCACCTCTCCTGATGGATTTCTAGTCTCATCCTCCACCTTAATCACCACTCCTGATGGATTTCTAGTCTCATCCTCCACCTTAATCACCACTCCTGATGGATTTCTAGTCTCATCCTCCACCTTAATCACCTCTCCTGATGGATTTCTAGTCGCATCCTCCACCTTAATCACCTCTCCTGATGGATTTCTAGTCTCATCCTCCACCTTAATCATCTCTCCTGATGGAGTTGTAGTCTCATCCTCCACCTTAATCACCTCTCCTGATGGATTTCTAGTCTCATCCTCCACCTTAATCACCTCTCCTGATGGATTTCTAGTCTCATCCTCCACCTTAATCACCTCTCCTGATGGAGCTTTAGTCTCATCCTCCACTTTAATCACCTCTCCTGATGGAGTTGTAGTCTCATCCTCCACCTCAATCACCTCTGCTGATGGATTTCTAGTCTCATCCTCCACCTTAATCACCTCTCCTGATGGATTTCTAGTCTCATCCTCCACCTTAATCACCTCTCCTGATGGAGCTTTAGTCTCATCCTCCACCTTAATCACCACTCCTGATGGAGTTGTAGTCTCATCCTCCACCTTAATCACCACTCCTGATGGAGCTTTAGTCTCATCCTCCACCTTAATCACCTCTCCTGATGGATTTCTAGTCTCATCCTCCACCTTAATCACCACTCCTGATCTCTCATCCTCCACCTTAATCACCTCTCCTGATGGATTTCTAGTCTCATCCTCCACCTTAATCACCACTCCTGATGGAGTTGTAGTCTCATCCTCCACCTTAATCACCACTCCTGATGGAGTTGTAGTCTCATCCTCCACCTTAATCACCACTCCTGATGGAGTTGTAGTCTCATCCTCCACCTTAATCACCACTCCTGATGGATAGTCTTCTAGTGATGGAGTTCTAGTCATCCTCCACCTTAATCACCACTCCTGATGGATTTCTAGTCTCATCCTCCACCTTAATCACCACTCCTGATGGATTTCTAGTCTCATCCTCCACCTTAATCACCACTCCTGATGGATTTCTAGTCTCATCCTCCACCTTAATCACCTCTCCTGATGGATTTCTAGTCTCATCCTCCACCTTAATCACCACTCCTGATGGATTTCTAGTCTCATCCTCCACCTTAATCACCTCTCCTGATGGATTTCTAGTCTCATCCTCCACCTTAATCACCTCTCCTGATGGAGTTGTAGTCTCATCCTCCACCTTAATCATCTCTCCTGATGGAGTTGTAGTCTCATCCTCCACCTTAATCACCACTCCTGATGGATTTCTAGTCTCATCCTCCACCTTAATCACCACTCCTGATGGATTTCTAGTCTCATCCTCCACCTTAATCACCTCTCCTGATGGAGCTTTAATCTCATCCTCCACCTTAATCACCTCTCCTGATGGAGTTGTAGTCTCATCCTCCACCTTAATCACCTCTCCTGATGGAGTTTTAGTCTCATCCTCCACCTTAATCACCTCTCCTGATGGAGTTGTAGTCTCATCCTCCACCTTAATCACCTCTCCTGATGGAGTTGTAGTCTCATCCTCCACCTTAATCATCACTCCTGATGGAGTTTTAGTCTCATCCTCCACCTTAATCACCTCTCCTGATGGAGTTGTAGTCTCATCCTCCACCTTAATCACCTCTCCTGATGGATTTCTAGTCGCATCCTCCACCTCAATCACCTCTGCTGATGGATTTCTAGTCTCATCCTCCACCTTAATAACCACTCCTGATGGAGTTGTAGTCTCGTCCTCCACCTTAATCACCACTCCTGATGGAGTTTTAGTCTCATCCTCCGCCTTAATCATCTCTCCTGATGGAGCTTTAGTCAGCATTATAAATAGAGTTCTACAGTGTAAATGATAAAAATAAGGTCAATCTTGATTTTTGCAGTATAAAATTTGTTTCAGATTTGACTGCTTGTTGATTAAAGGACTTTAATCAGTTGACTCCTATGACAGATTATAACTTCATTTAATTATAAATTATGATGTGAAATCAATTCCAAACAGCAGTATTACATATATGGTTTTATAATATCATGCAATAGACACTTGTTGGATTCCTATAGATATATTAAGAAAAAGAAACTTTATCTAATCACAGATATTTCACTACCTGTATCTTTTTCTGTACATTTAGATGGTGAAGATGCCTTGTCTTTTGTCATCAGTATAATTAGCCTGTTGGGAATGTGTGCCCTCGTCACTTACACAGTAAGTCAGTATAACCAGTCTGTGGGAATGTGTGATCACCTACACAGTTAGTCAGTGTAACCAGTCTGTGGGAATGTGTGATTAACAACATATTTAACCTTACATCATTTTTTTTGTCAAATGATACATTTATATGTATTGACTTACACTGAGCTCTAACCTCAAACAATGTTTAATTTGAGGTGATGTCATTAAATTTGTTTGATATCTCAGCCATTATTAAACATAAACAAAATTGTGAATGTCTTTTTTTCTGTATTAGGCTTATGGTATGTCTGCTTTGCCTATGGGTCTGATTAAAGGAAGAAGAGGTGCAAAATCAGAGAGAATGACTGTGCAATCTGAGCGGTCTTCTGCTCAATCAAGGATACAGTCGCTCAAAGACAAGGTGGGTACCCTGTGTCTAAGGACGATATATTAGCAGGAAAAACCTTCTTAGTCATTATAAAATGTCAAGGTCTTTGTAAGGAACACATGAAAAGGGAAAAATGAGAACATCCGTGGTGACATCAACAATTTTAAGATCACGAAGTCTTGCAGGGAAAGACAAATTGTAGATAATGAATGTCTGCTTAATTTTAAAATTATTTTACAATTCCTTATTTCCTTTAGATTTAGTTACAGCTTTGTTTGGTTTTTAGACTTAGTTAATCAGTCATGTTGTATTTTCTGTCTCCAGTATTCCGGTAGGTCTATGTCATCACGGCGACGGAATGATCTTTCTAATATGGAAGAATCGGAACGTCTGATGGAGAGGAGAGAAAAGCACCTGGTTGCTAATGAGACCAGCATACTTCAGCGATGTCTGGTGGTTCTCCGCCCGTTCGAGGTTATTTTTGGGATACTCTTCTTCCTTGTCACACTGCTGATCTTTGTGTCCCTGCTGCTGACAAAGTGAGTTGAGGATTGGTGTTAATTTCAGATTAATCCCATATCATTGTTAAAAATCTGTCATGCTCTTGGAAGTGTATTAAGGAATTGATTTGTCAATTATTTTATTAGTCTTCTATCAGTTAATCAACCGTTTTATCCAACATTCAGTGGTCTAACAAATTATGTATTCAATTATCAAATTATTGGTTTGGTTTTATTTAAGTTCAGTTGGGTAATAGAAGAAACACCATAACACCTATTGTGATAATATATTACCTTTTGAAACAATGAGACATGCAGTGAAATGCAGTAGGTTGTTCACTCTCGTCTTAAGCCTGAAATGCTAATTTTTCTGAATCTTAATGAGTCAAAATAAGAATATGATACTAAATGCTTTGCAAATGAGTAAATGAATTACTTCATAAGAAATTACATTAGAAGTTTTCATTCGAAATGAAAATGTAACAATAAAATCCTGTAATGCAAATTGGTTCAATGGAAATCATTGGGTACTTTTAGCCACAAATTCATATATCTACTGTATTAATTAGTACATTCATACAGCTGTAATTATCCATGAAATCAAATGTCAAAGAAATAGTGATTTTTTTTCTTTTGAAAAACCACTGAAATTGAGCCCCATGAAAATATACAATTTTATAGTATGAAATAGGATTTTGTAATAAGTCTGGTCTGTTAAGCACAGTATCTGACGTTCACATACATTTTACAATGTTGCAGCATAGACAAGGCTCTCCATAGTCTTGGATACAAGTTTGGGTATGCCCTTCCTCATCGAACTCTTCCTAATCCAGTAGATATGGTACTGGTGTTTTGTCAGAAAGTAAGTGCTATACAAAGAAGTTTGTAATGAAACAATACAGAAAGTTATAAATGGTTCATGAGATACCTCACCGATTCTTAAAACTGTTTTTACGTCATTGATCATGAATAGTAATATCAGTACTGTAATTGAAAGTTTCCTGCAGATATCAAATATAACACAAAAGTTCCAGACTATAAATTATCTGAAAAATGTACACCAAGGACCATTCCTTTGCATATGATGCAGGTGTAAATAAAGCCAACGATACATACTATTGTAACTGTAGAAATAAGCCTTATAAAAGCAGTGTTCCCCACCTCTGCTACAGATTTATTTCATGAAGATTTTGATGTTTTGGTTCTGTTGTCAGGTGTTCCCGCTGGACTATATCATGTTCTCTCTGCTGGTGGTCTACCTTGTGTTCTGCTCCATGTCTGGTGTCCGCAACATAGGCATCTGGTTCTTCTGGCTCAGAGTAATTTTACATACTTAACGGTTTCCCATGGAAGAAGAAACATAAATGATGTTTTTGTTAATAGGACAAGATGAGATATCAAATCTATAGACATCACTGTGTTGATTATCTGTAATGTATTTCTAATAAAAGTGCTTTGGTAAAAGCTGAAAAATTCACAATTTCTGATCTTAAATAAGTATTTTAGTGGTAACAACCACTTCTAGGTGAACTCTGATAACTTGTCTGGTAATTGTTCTTTCTGATAACCAGTATAGTAAATGTACTTTTTGAAAACCAGTATAGATTTTAATCTTTAGTCTTCAATTTATGGCTAAGAGTTTATTGAGTGTTATTTTCTCGTAACAGCTATAGTAAGTTTTCTTTATGAACCTGTTTCCTTAATTACAGATGTATAAGATCCGTCCACGGAGAACCCGTCCCCAGGGGATACTGATGCTGTGCATGATTCTCATGTTTATCATGTCTGCCATCAACATCATAATTTATGAGCTCACTCCCCAATACTCTAGCTTTGGTAGTCAGAGATACACAGTAAGTATTATTTAATCTCAGTCATGACCTCACTCCCCAATACTCTAACTTTAGTAGTCAGAGATACACAGTAAGTATTATTTAATCTCAGTCATGCCCTCACTCTCCAATACTCTAGCTTTAGTAGTCAGAGATACACAGTAAGTATTATTTAATCTCAGTCATGCCCTCACTCCCCAATACTCTAGCTTTAGTAGTCAGAGATACACAGTAAGTATTATTTAATCACTTCCCAATATTCAAGCTTTGGTAGTCAGAGATATGCAGTAAGTATAACCTACATTCTGTCCTGAACTCACTTCCCAATATTCAAGTTTGGTAGTCAGAGATACACAGTAAGTATTATTTAATCTCAGTCATGCCCTCACTCCCCAATATTCCAACTTTGGTAGTCAGAGATACACAGTAAGTATAACCTATATTCTGTCCTGAACTCACTTCCCAATATTCAAGCTTTGGTAGTCAGAGATACACAGTAAGTATTATCAGTTAGCTTTCCAAATCTTTCAACCATCCCTTCCAGCAAAATTTCTACTCAGTAGATTAGAAAGTGTTTGGATTTTCAGTCAGCTGGTGAGATATGATATGACAGAGAAAGCCTGAGCTCAAAATGTTGAATTATTTTTCAAGAGGTTAAAAAGGTTTTTAGTTTATCTATGTATATATTTTGCAGTATATGATTTTATTTTGTAAAAACATGCTATATGATACAAAAACTGATGAAAAAAGATAATTTTTCATCCTGTGTACACATGTGTATTTTAAAATTCTTGATTGGGGTAAAGCAAATGTTTCATCTTACTTGCCTAGTATGGCAAGTATATCAATATGCACTGTCATTGTTTTTTTCTTTGAAATGTAAACAAGTTACATGGTATGAAACTCAATTAAAATGAAATTTATTCTTCGTAGGTGCAAACCAACGGTACAAGTGATGGCAAATTGGAAATATGCTCCACTGATGCACGTATGTATAAACACTGTTCAGTAAGGATTTGTATGGTTACAGTGCCATTAAGTTAGTATTGAATGCTCTATTGAACTGTTTTTATAGGAACCTATTTTGGATGAAATTCGTTATTGTTTTTTACTAATAGTTATTAATCCACCAACATTTATTTATGACAGTCATTATGGTACCTTAAGTAATCTAGCTTTCCACCTGTCTGTCCGTCCATCAGCATGCTCTTTGCCAGAAATTTCCTCTGAATACAGAAGACCAACCCCTCATGATTCACTTGTTTAAAGTTTATACATTGATATGTAGATGTGCAAAAGAGTCTTTTTGAGTCCATTCAATATTCCTGAGATCATTGGGTCAAAGGTTAAATTTGAATTTTGAATTTTTAGGTCATCTGACCGAAGGGTCTGATGATTTATTGTTATCGCCTTTTGTCCTGCGTCGTCCGTCATACATTGTCCGTCGTAAACATTTTCAACTTCTTCTCAAGGTCTACATGTCTCATTGAGCTGAAACTTAACTGAAATGATTGTGACATGATCCTGACCAAAGTTTGTTAATTCGGGTTTGTCCGAAATCCAACATGGCCGCCATGGCTGCCATCTTGAAAACACTTTTTCGACTTTTTCTCAAGTTCAAAATTTGAAATCTCATATTTTATGTCAGATAACTGTTAAGACCCATGGGCCTCTTGTTTTTTGTTATGTTCATATTTTGTTATGACATTACAAATTAAAATTGGTTTACATTTAACAGACTGATAAAATGTAAAGGCTCATTATTTGAAGAGTACATGTGTTAACTATGGTATCAGGTATTATGATGCAAAGATGGATAAAGATAAAGCTATCAGAACTAACGTTTACTTACCTTTACTGCATGAAATAAATAAAGAAAATTGTAATGATGATGTTTTTCAGGCTGTGGCTTTGCAAATCCAGAAAGCGGCCATTTTAGAGATGGAAGTTAATTTGCAAAGTATTTATTAAATAGTACATTGTAACTGTGTTGTCCAAATCAAATTTTGTACGTAAATCTGTGATGTATAAAGATTGTGAATTCTTACAGATAATTCCAGCTGTGTGATCTCTCGGATGGCTCTTCTACTTACCCGATTCTTCTATAAGATGTGGTTCTTTGGAGCTGCCTACTACTGGACAACCTGGGTGTTCCTGGGAGTAAGTACATTTAATTCAATGATTCTGTAGGGAAACATATAGTAGAAAACAAGAGGTGTTTCTGGGAGTAAATCATGACAGTTACGTGAAATACATCCATAGTTCTTTGTAGAAAAGTTTAATAGAGAACATGGTTGTTTGGAAGACTATTTCATTTCTTTAAATCAGCTTTTGACTGAATGCATTCATCATTCTGTACTCATTTGTATCATTATGATATCTTGGGTGTTAATTGACACTCCATGGTGTATAATTACATCACACTCCATAGGATCCGATATCGAGGTGTAACATTACACTCCATAGGATCTGATATTTAGGTGTAACATTACACTCCATAGGATCTGATATCTAGGTGTTAATTAACACTCCATAGGATCTGATATCTAGGTGTAACATTACACTCCATAGGATCTGATATCTAGATGTTAATTAACACTCCATAGGATCCGATATCTAGATGTTAATTAACACTCCATAGGATCTGATATATAGGTGTTAATTAACACTTCATAGGATCTGATATCTAGGTGTAACATTACACTCCATTGGATCTGATATCTACGTGTTAATTAACACTGCATAGGATCTGATATCTAGGTGTTAATTAACACTCCATAGGATCTGATATCTAGATGTTAATTAATACTCCATGGGATCTAATATCTACGTGTTAATTAACACTGCATAGGATCTGATATCTAGGTGTTAATTAACACTCCATAGGATCTGATATCTACGTGTTAATTAACACTCCATAGGATCTGATATCTATGTGTTAATTAACACTCCATAGGATCTGATATCTATGTGTAACATTACACTCCATAAGATCTGATATCTATGTGTTACATAACACTCCATAGGATCTGATATCATTGTGTAACATTACACTCCATAGGATCTGATATCTATGTGTAACATTACACTCCATATGATCTGATATCTAGGTGTAACATTACACTCCATATGATCTGATATCTATGTGTTACATTACACTCCATTGGATCTGATATCTAGGTGTAACATTACACTCCATAGGATCTGATATCTAGGTGTAACATTACACTCCAAAGGATCTGATACCTAGGTGTTACATTACACTGCATAGGATCTGATATCTATGTGTTACATTACACTCCATTGGATCTGATATCTAGGTGTAACATTACACTCCATAGGATCTGATATCTAGGTGTAACATTACACTCCATAGGATCTGATATCTAGGTGTTACATTACACTGCATAGGATCTGATATCTAGGTGTAACATTACACTTCATAGGATCTGATATCTAGGTGTTACATAACACTCCATAGGATCTGATATCTACGTGTAACATTACACTCCATAGGATCTGATATCTATGTGTTACATAACACTCCATAGGATCTGATATCATTGTGTAACATTACACTCCATAGGATCTGATATCTATGTGTAACATTACACTCCATATGATCTGATATCTAGGTGTAACATTACACTCCATAGGATCTGATATCTAGGTGTAACATTACACTCCAAAGGGTCTGATATCTAGGTGTAACATTACACTCCATAGGATCTGATATCTAGATGTTAATTAACACTCCATAGGATCTGATATCTAGGTGTTAAGTAACACTCCTTAGGATCTGATATCTAGATGTTAATTAACACTCCATAGGATCTGATATCTAGGTGTTAAGTAACACTCCATAGGATCTGATATCTAGGTGGTAAGTAACACTCCAGAGGGTCTGATATCTTTGTGTTACAATACACTGAATTTGTCTGATATTATTTACAGATCATACTTGTTGGTTTCCTGGTCGCTTTTATCAAGAAGAGGAAGTCTGCAATAGATGGAGAAGTAGATGAAGATGATTTTGATGACAGTGATGATGATATGATACAGCCTTGATTTCCAACAGGACATTTTGCATTTTGTGATATTTGTGTGTATTTATAGTAAAATGTTGTCAGTGTTAACTTATATCCATGTTTGATTAAATTTGATTGTAAGGAATTGCAGCCATGACTTCTAGAATATCTTGCATAGTGTGAAGTAAGACTTCAGAACAAAATTTTCATTCAGTCTATCTTTTCCTTTTACATCAGATTATCTTTGACAGTGTTACCTGCTCATAATAGCATGTACAACTTGTTTAATTGTCAGTACGAGAGTGTATGTACAAGTGAGTGATATGTATATATTTTGTACTATAGACAAATTCATGATCATGGAATCTGTAAATAAACAGAAATTGAAGTAGAAATTAAGTGCTTGACATAATAGATATATATTGTATATAAAGGCTGAACAAAAAATAAAGTGACTTAACTGAAATCTGATGTGTTCTTGTAGGAGTTAAACAAATCTCAGGTTGCTGCAGACTTATAATGTACACCAAGTATGATATGAAATATATATATAGCATTTATATATTATTCTTAACATGCAGGTTCAATAATCTTATTTGTTCCATAAGTGAAATCTTTTAAGTAAATGTTGAGGTATCTCATCACAATGCATTCGGGAATGGAAATAATAAAGAGTATATTCCTTTTGGTTGTTAGCATCAAAGGCATAAATCATCGAAATATTGATAATCCTGTAAATGAAATGTTGTGATAGGATCTTGACAAGTGAACATAGCCCGTATATGGGTATCATAAGAAACTTCAAATATTTGTTCTGACCCCAGGGCTGAGAATTTGTGCCAAGCCCCTTTGGTTAACACAGAATAAAAGACTAAAACTGATGATTTATATAAAAAAATGAATATTTATTTCTCAGAAAACTTTCCTAAATAATTTATGACATTCTTGTATTTTGTATGATATGTTGCAGATAATTTATTTTCACACACATTTAGAAATTCTATCACAGTTCAATATGTCATTCTCAGTGTTGGTCCTCCAGTCATGGGCCCATAGGTTGAAAGTCACTTTATGTCTCCCCAGACAGGTTTATCTCCCTTTGAGGACTGCTACTTGTACCAGCCTCAAAATCACTTGATATATGGATGAAGGAGATTGAAAATCGAAATTGCTGAGGACAGATCAGAGACACACTCTTCCACACAATGTCCACTAACAATCCCTTATCAAAGTATAACCTCAGTGCTCGTTCACATCTCTTCTGTAGTCTAACTTCTAACAATAAATAAGATGAACTACAACTGTCTCTATAATGTATATATATTATCTATGTACAATAAGTAGGTCATTGGTAAGAGTAATGTGTACTGTTTATACCTCTTGATCAGCTAAGTAGGTAATTTTACAGTTCCATCAAAAATGACTAGGTGCCACTCATAATTTCAGTTCGGTAAACTTGAGAACAGATAACTGTTACACGATAATTTCCTGAATCTCTATATTGATAACTACACTAGGTACACTGAGGCTACACATTATAAACAGGAAACAGAGTAAGATCTATTGTGATGAACAGGTGTGGAAATCTGGAGCGTTGCACCATGGTAGTCGCATCAGAACAGGTCGTTCGTCAAATGTGACCAAGTTATCGTCTCGTGGAAGCCATCAATGAAGAATGTCTTGTCATGAAGTAGGAATTTTACATGTTCCTTAAGAGAACACTTGCTGCTATCATTAAGATGGCTAGGATGCCCTGACTCTTTAGAGCACTGCTACCACCTGTAAAAAAGATTAAATTATAATTAGAGATTTAAATATCTATCAGCTACCTATTATTGCTCTTAACTCCCCTACTAGCAGATATTTCGAACAAATATCAACATTTTCAGCCAGTGTATAGATGCTGATGAAGTTTTGGGTTTTCTCATTTATAACTTTATTGTTATTTTGTACACAGATAAAATTCCGCAGTTAAGCTTTATGGGATGTACTTACTGAGCTGTGTCTGTAGAGTATACTCCATAGCCCGATACCAGCCTTCAAAGTGAACTTCACAACGGAACAGCTTGTCCTGGTCAGTAGACACCAGGTCAATGGCTACAGAGCTCTTGGCGTCACCATACCCTGATAAAGGAAATCACATTCAGTTAAAGGGGAGAAAACTTTACAAGTCAGAAAGATTACTGAAAAGAACCTTAGATATTTATTTCTTGCCAAAATTCTTGCAGTTAATGAGATAGAACTTATAATTCTAATGATAGTCATGGCATGTTACTAGAAACAGAAAAGTACTACCTGGCATGTGATTTACGTTTTACCATTCTAAATTACAACTATTATCAGAAAATGTTATGGGTATATGTAGTGAGGGAAGTTGTGCACAAAAAAAACGAAATCTTATTTTTCATATTAAAAACAAAATTGTTTAAACCCAAAGTATCTTTGGAAATCAGCAGTTTGTATAAGAACAGTTATATCCACAGACTCACCACTGGAGAGTGTATTTTCAGTGTAGTAATAAGCATCTTGTGTGAAATCCACATCGTTTTTGTACCAGCGAAGGTAGGGAGGTGGGTTTCCATATGTAGCCTTACATGTAAGGTTTACAGTGGACCCAGCAGATGGAGAGCTTTCCCAGTAGACAGATACATTTGTAGGTAGAACTACAACAGAAGAATTCACAATTAGTAACTATGGCTGTGAGGTACTGAAACAAATTGTTTCACTTCCAAACTAAACACATATACTTCAGACACAGGCCTTGCTTTTTTGGTAGTTTCAAGAAAATCAAAACCCTGCAAATTTTATTCTAATTGTATTTTCAGTTATCTGACAAAGTTATCACAAATACTGATGATTTTTAGTGTCATTGAGAAAGAAATGTTAGTAGACAAGTTAGACTATATTGGGCGTACTCACCGACTGACAGAAGATAGGCTTCCTGGGTAGTGGAGCCGACAGTACACTGGTATAATGCAATATCATCTGACGCCACATTGGATATAGTCAAGTTGTACGTTCCCACAATGGAGTACTTGGTGGAACTGGCTAGAATTTGGGTACCCAGGGAGATGGTGGTCGTTGAGGAACCAGACACCTACAGTCATAGACAGGTGACAATTATACAGAGATGTTAATTATGGACGATAGTTGTAGACTTGGAGGTAGGTATTGACATGGGGTTATAGAAAGGGGGCTGTTTCTAATATCTTAAGTTGGCTGTTATAGAAAAGAGGTTGTTATGGACAGATGTTGTTAAAGACAGGTTGTAATGAACGACAGGTATATCTATAGACACGTGGTAGATTTAGACAGATGGTAGATGAAGACCGTAGGAACTATAGACAGGTTTATATAAAAGACTGGTAAATCGGGTAAGTGATATACAGTTTATATTTCCATCATATCTTTGTTTCTAAGTGTATTGAGTTCTCAATTTCCCTCCCCTTTTGCACCCATGCCCGTTACAACACCAGAACGTGACAATTCAACTATGGCCTATTGAAATGTATTTCTGGTTTACCAAAAGAAGAAATAACATCCAATTTTTTGAAAGATATATTAATGTTCTTCATGCTATACATGGTCTAATTATGACAATCAATTCGGTTCATAGTGCTAAAAAGGAACAAACAATATTAGATTGATACATGACCAAATAAGGCACTGACCTTTTTCCACGTGACACTGTCGGATCCGAGGTTGCTGACGATACATGCCATAGTGGCTGTGCTCCCGATCTCCACAGAAGTGTTATAGGGCGCGATGTCAAAGTTGACGCCCTGGCAGGCTGGGAAAATAGAAGGCAAAATACATAAACGCTTGCAAAAATTATTTTGAGTGTTACTAGATGAAAAGAACAGATAAAAAAAACCTTGAACAGATATTTAATATCTTACTGGTTTTATAGTCAGTATCATATTACAACGGGACTTAAAATTGTGCGTAAATTAAAACAAAACAAAAAATTATAAAAAAAAAAAAGAACAAAAAAGAAGTTCTATTCTTTGTACATAACGGTAGTAAAGTTGTAAAGATACAATAAAACCGTTAACAGATCAGCGTGTTATATATGTATAGTGATAGAAAAACTTACCTCCGACAAGAGCGGCGAAAAATGCTACGATTCCAAACATGATGCCAACGAATGGTGCGTTTGTGAAGGATGGTCTGCGCTGTATGAGAACGCCTCGTCAGGGACAGCAGTTTTATACCAGCCGATTGTTTGGAGGAGAATATTGCTTGACCACGCAGGATACATCACCGAATTGGACGAGTACAATTGGATCAAAACGGATTGAATAAATTAGCAGTATTTTGGCTATAGATTTGCCAAGTATATCACTGATTAGCCCCGTAGTCACATACGCCGGGTAATTAAGTATCGTGTGTATACCGACATTTTACGTATCAAACGACACATCTTGTAACATATATAGTTACGCCTATTTGTGAAATATACAAAACTTGGTCGTCAACACAACAATTAAATATCACCTCTCAAGAATGTGACGAATAGTGCCGAGATGTCGATTCTGAAATGGTGTCGTTCAAACAGGACGACTTGCATTCACTGGATTTTTCTCAAACAACTTTCAAATAGTTACAGCGACCTAGATATATTTCATAATGGCTGGTTCTCTGATATAGATGTAAAACACGGTGATCGATGAAATGTGACGTTTAAATTGTTATTATGTCATATAACCATGAAGTAAAATAATAAATATCCAATAGATGTTATTTATATAAACGGTATTTCATAGAGAAGAACGATTATTTTAGCAAAGATGGCGGCTTATGTTTTATTGTAACGTTATTGCGACCTACACAATAATCGTTTGCTTTTTATGTCGCAATTTTTGCTCAATATATTTACAAAAACCTTGCATAACGAAGTAATACACTAGCTCATAGAAGGGAGAAAAAACCACATATCCAATTATATATGTTCATTCTTACTACCAATATACCTCCAGACTTCATATGACTAATTCCATAGTACCGAAACAATTGCTCATTTAATACTACCGTGTTAGATTAAGGCGCAAACTTTTTTTATTTATCAAAAAACCAAAGTTTATCAAATTTCTTAAATATTTAGATATCTTCAGATATTAAAAAAGGGTTCATCCAGGATTTCTCACTGGATATTCAATCTGTGTCGCCATATAAGTGGTTTGAGGCAAGAGAGAGAAATGTGATAATGTACCGTCTATATCATCATATATACTATTGGTTTTTATCTACATATTGTAGGTATTAAATACAAAACGTTCTCTTATAAATATATATATGCAGTTGGTGACCCATGTAGCGATTAGCATTTCTGTTTAACATTTGGGTTTTATGTCTAAAATGAGAAATGACAGCTTCAACACTGCATATGCCAAAGCCTGAAACCTTTATCGATCTATCGTTAATTGTTTTAATTCATAATTCTACTTAGGTACCATCTATGCTGTACTTATCGTATAAAAAATGAAATTAGTTCTCTACTTCAAAAGATTGCTTCCTAAAACGACATAAACTAGTTATATTGAGAACTTACTGACTATCGTGTCAAGTGATTTCGATGAAAACAAATCTGGGTCTCCAAATTGAACTGCAATTTATAGTTGATGACACGTTCTTGTCATCGTTTTGCCTGGAAATAAGCAGATTATATTGCAAGACAATAGGCAATTTCGCCGCTGTTTTCAACATTTCAAAATAAAGAAACAAACAAAACAAGGATTTTTGTAACGCTAACTATCCAGTTTCATTGTAGTATATTATGACTGAAATATATAACGCGTTATACAGAACACGTTTGATCCATTTCTGTGGTAATTCCTTTAAAACCCCTTTCTGACTTATGTTAATATATTTTATTTAATAGAATTTCAGAATATTGTTCATATACATGTGCACATTCTTTTCGTAAAATTTTCTCCAAAGCACGCCATTTGATTGTACATGTTCTCGTGTTTACATTCCATATTGACCGTAAGGATGTAGAGGGTGTATGATGTCCTGTAATTGGCCGTATCATGGTATACGCCGTCTGACTAAGTGGGTGACGTAAATCTATTAGGTACTCAACCATTATCTGACTCACCAGATTTTGACCAAAATGGAAACAGTGTTAATTCATCTAAAAAAAAAAAAAAACACACACACACACTATAAATGGAACCCTGCTTCCTAGTTTAAGTTACTAATATAAATGATATTTCTATACTAATTTATATTGTTTGAGACAGACTCGTGTAATGATATTAAAGGACAATTTGAGATGTTCAGATAGTTTCGCCATGCTGCTTCAAGAGAATGAAACAGCTTTATGATGCAGTTTAATTATTTTTTCCCTTTAGCAGAGATTGTTTTTGAGTTTGTTGTATCTAATTCTAAATATGTAGAGCAAAGTGCTCGTTAAGTGATATCATTAAATCGTATGTCGGCAACTCGATGGCAGCAGTATGTCACCATGGTAATCATTTATAGCTTTTCCGTTCAGTCATTGAGAATGCAGGCAAGTCCCGAGACTTGCCATAACCTGTATGCCATGTTTCAATTCATTCGAACAAAGTCCAGAATAAACACACGTACTTGCTTTTATTTCGGAATGTTTGATGTTATACAATACTGAAGATTATGAAATCTGCTTTAAGGGTTAGTACACCTCAAAATACAGTTTTTAACATTTCTTCCGATCTCTTTGGATTTTCTTCAGTCGCCTTCTCGGTATTTACAAGATATAAGCTACATATACCCATTACATTTCCCCTGTATCGTCTCGTAACTTATATCGTTACTGGCTTTTTAAAAGGTAAAATTTCCAAAAGTGGATGTTGGCTACAAGTAATCAGTGAGTTTTATAAACTTGGCAGCCCTATACCCCAGCATGCTACTGACCCAGTAACAGCACCAGTAATTGAGTAGAAGTCCTTTAAATATTTCAACACATTTTACCCCTCTGACCTTGAAAAGTAAGTCAAGGTAATTTTTTTAACAAACTTGTTAGCCCTTCATCCCAGTATCCTACTGACCCAATAACAGCACCATGAACTTTTGATAATTGAGAAGTCGTTTAAACATTTCAACACGGTTTACCTATGCGACCTTAAAAAGTGAGTCAATGTTATTAATTTTAATAAACTTGGTAGCCCTAATTTCTAGCATGCTACAGACCAAATATCAGCACTTTGAGCCTCTTTGTTATTGAGAAGAAGTTGTTTAAAGATTTTAACATACGTTACCCCTGGGACCTAGAAATTTGGTCAAGGTCAGTCATATCAACAAACTTGGTAGCCCTTCATCCCATCATGCTACAAGCCCAATACCAGAGTCCTGGTCCTTTTGATTATTTAGATGTCATTTGAATGGAAAGTTTATGCATGGTGCATGACAAGGACAAAACATGATAGCTATATGTCATCCTGACCCAGATGACCAAATAATACAGTATTAAACAATTTTTCTGAGGAGGATTTTATGAAAGGCTTGATTTTGTAAAGCAGATTAAAAGCAAAAAAACAATACGTTTGGTTTAAGAAATTTTCGTAGATACTTTTAATGTTAAAACAAGAAGCCTATTGGCCTTAACGGTCACCTGAGATAAGCAATATTGAACATAAAGGTTAAAGGATAGTTATCAAGTCTCATGAAACAGAAATTCTGACACTGAATAAAATATGCCAGTGTCAATACATGCATACCATTAAAACTGTCATCGTATATTGATAATTCTTATAAAGTTATTTCCAGTGGGAAATGCAATTACAGAAAAGTCTGAAAAAAAAAATTTCTCTCCAAGAAAAAATGTGAGATTCATTTTCATAATTAAAGCACCTTAAGATAGTTCCATTTTTGAATAGCATTTAATTATAACATATTTAGGTGTTGCGAAGATGTTTGAAATTTAAGTCAATTTGACCCTTTGTGGCCCCGCCCATCAGCCCCCGGGGATCAGTCAAGATCTAAATGGGCATACCATCAAGCCATCATCCTTCACTCATAATTATAACCAAGTTTAAAATATTTCCAAAGGAAATTAAACAAATCATGCTCAAAAATCTAGTTTTCCTAAATAAACTATAATAAATTTTACCCCCTCCAAACAGGAAAATGTGAGACCCCGGGGCCATGAAATTCACAATTTTGGTAAAGCACCTTAACATGCTTCAATTCATGAAAAGTATTTGTTTCTACCATATCTAGTCTTGAGAAGAAGATTTTAGAAATCCAAGTCAATTTGACCTCTTTTGGCCCTGCCCCTACGGCCCCTTGGGGTTTGGAACTGTATTATTCCCAATTTTGATTAATCTTTGACCAGGGAAGGTTTTTGCAAAATTTCATTGAAATTGGATCATGGGTCTTTGAGAAGTCGAAAGTGTTAAATTGCTTATGGATGAACGACGCATGACACCAGATGAAGACTTTGTCTCAGATGACCCAAAAATTGGGACCAGCATGCTTTAATTTTGAAAATTTCTTCCAAATAGCCAGTTTTTCAAAGATAAAGAAACAAGCTGAAACATTTGATTTTGGGTCCTAAAAATCTGGTTAAGTGGTCCACCAAGTCTGAATTTATGAATGTGAAAGCTAATTTGTGGTGATGATTCATACAAAATGAAATTGAAATTAACAACAAAACTGAAATTGTTGACAAAATTAAGCAAATCATGCCATCAAAAAAGGTAGTCCACTGGTGAAATTTCATTAAGAAGTTTTCAAATTACCATTTTTAAGTTTATTAATACTCCTACAGATAACAAAGTGTATAAGTATAGAAAAGCACATGATATTATGTTTGAAACCATTTTATATTGATTTATGTCTTATTTCCTGTCAAACGACAAAGGAATTCATCCTTTAAAAATTGTTGACAGACAATGACAGACGGATGCCAGGGTACATCACAAGTTCACCTTGGTCCTTAGGACCAGGTTTGCTAAAAAGAAACAAAATCAAGAACTTATTTTTATAGTTTTATTTTGAAACACAATTAATTTTTTTGAAACTTCATTCAAATCAATTACTTCACATATACTGATATAATCTACAACTGACACAAATCTCCAGTAAAGCTTTATTAAATTAAAAAAAGCACTAGAGAACGTTCTTTCAAAGTGTTAAAGTTTAAAAATCCATGTCACAATGTCAGGTGGTTTGCTTAGTTCTTTCTTTCAATCATGGTTGATGTTTGAAGGTGTCCTCCATCGATTGCCACTAAGGTAATGTTGTCTTATTTTAGAGGTTCCTCTAAAACGTGAAAAACCTGGTAGAGTTGACAACTCAGATGCCAGCATTCCCACTACTGCAAAACCTATACTCCTTACTGCTACCTTCTTGAAGTTCAGGTCTGTTTTGCAAACAAAGAAAAGTGAATGGAATCAGTTTTAAGGGATTGTCAGCAGATAATTAAAATAACAATCAAACAAGAGTATGAGTGAAATTAATAAAATGCTCCCCTAAAATGACTTCATTTGACACAAACTTTTTAACAAAGGGCACCAGTTATGCAATTAAGGGGTTGTGGGCCCTGAATTTGGTACATTGTACATCGTCTTTGTACAATCAATGTATACACCACTTTTTATGATCTTTGCTTAACTTTGGGCTCTGGACAGGAAAGGATGGACGGAAAGAAGGACAGAGGGATGGACAAAGCTGTGACTATATGCTGCCCCCCCTCTATCTCCCCCAAACATTTCAGGGAGCATGAAAATCAAAAAGTCTTAACAGGTATAACGATCTTTACAGTAGAAGCAGTTGTACAGTTTAAGGATCTCACCATTGTCTGTACAACAACAGGATGCATGATCGTATATAACACAACTGGATGATGTGGTTAATTGGTTATCATTGGTGGGAATCATGTGAGGTTTTTGCTAAACCTAATAGGTGTAACGTGAGATGAAGACCAAAATATGTTTTTCAAGATGATGGATTTTGAAAAGAAATAACATTGTATTCATGCAAGGTTAGTCATCCCAGGATATTCCTTCAAATTTTCAGCCAAATGCTACTGGTAATAATACAGAAAATTTCAATACATGTTGTTTTAACACTCAGTACACATCAATCATCTAACAACCAGGTCCCTGTTGTTGACTCTTGACAAGTTTAAAATGCATTTTGGCATGAACAGAAATGGTAAAAATCATATCTGTAATGTCAGATGAAGAAACAAGCTGAATATCTACTTGCCTTGTGAAAGAAAGTTTTGTTGACTCTCACTAAATCATAACCAAATCTTATTGCAAGTTTGGTTGGTGAAGGGTCACTGAAGTTTTGTACAAGCTTTATGTATTAATCATAATTATTTTTGTTAGTTTAAACTTGTCTTTCGTTATTTCAATTGTTTCTTAAATTCTTGCTTCAGAATTGAAACCATACGAGAGTATCAGTGAAGCTGATGAATGCTTCCCTTAAACAACATTATTGGCAACAAAATTTTATCGCAGGACAATAACTTTGTAATTAAGGGGTTGCAGGCCATGAATTTGATACACTGCACATCATCTGAGCATGACTTATCTTTATCAAAAGTAATGCTCCAGATATCAGATTTTAATAAAGGGTAAAAACTTTGTAATTAAAGGGTTGTATGCCCTGGATTTGGTACACTGCATGTTGTTTTACTATGACGAATGTATACACAAATGTATGTTTCATTATCCCAATTTAAATGGATACAAAGTTATAGGATATGAAATTTTAACCACAGGCAATGATTCTGTATTAAAGGGTTGTGGGCCCTTAATTTTGTACACTAAACATAGTCACAGTAAGATGTTTCAGACAAGAAAAGATGGATGGATAAAGTGGCAACTATGCCCCCCTCCCAACCCCTAAGTTTTCCAAAAGCATAATAGTGGGTAGAGTGACAAGTCCCTGGCAATTACTTCAAAATATTCCTTGTGTTGCTCTGTTCAGAATTAAAAACATATAATGAATAATGGATTTCCATTGCCAGTATTGCATGATTCAGAAGCTGAGACTGTTTCATCTACTTGATATAACATTGTACATCTACATTGTATATCATTTGAGTACAGAGAGTAGAGATTTTACAATCCAGCTTTTAATTAAACCTGACCTATTATAGATTATGACAACAGGAGGTGGTCTTTCACATACAATTATTTTAAGGAAAATAGCAACAAATACAAATTCTACTCCAGTAAAAGGTATCATTAGATTACAATGTTGATTTTAAACTACTGGTACCAGTACAGCAAAAGACACTACCAGAGCTTCAGTTTGACACCTGTTTTGTAAAGGGATACAAATACAGAAGTGGTAATATCCTTTTCTAGTCTAAGGTTCGTCAGAAATGTTTCACAAAATTCAGATGAAAAATATATTTGTTTTTTAAACAAAAAATTGTTTAATTACCCAAAGTAAGTACGAAATGAAAAACATATTTTTACTAATATTTTAATTCACTGGTATAAGCTCGTGTAGACATTGCGTGTTGGACTTACGCCTGAGTCCGTAAACAGCGCCAGCAGCTGCACCTCCATAGAAATGGTTCATGGGCTCAGATTTTCCTCTTACCTCAGCAGCATAACTTGTAACATACACATAGGTTGCTGCTGATACAACTGAAATAAGCAATTATAAAAACTTATTAAGAGGGGAACAATATATTCTGGTCCTGTGCCATGGAGCATCCACTTAGACCTATTATGTATCCAAATGTTTTTATACTTGCTACATTTTGAACTATTTTTTTGTAACAATAAGCATGTATAGAAAACTGAATGGTAAAATCATTATCAAACTTAATTTCAGGTGTAAAGTTTTTCTATATAGTAAACTCTGAAAAATATAAAAATTGTTTAACAAAAAAAAAAAAATTTTTACTATCAAAATTCAAGATTGTCACTTGGTGTCTATCATTACAGATGTCAGCTTCAAAATTAAATATGAATGAAAAAAAAAACAAAAGGAACATACAAGTAATAAAGTTCTTATGATAACGACATTCAAGTACTTAAATCAAAGATGACCACCAGTGACTGAATGTGTTCTTTGTCAATCTATGAAGGGAATATGTAGCATTGTATCATGGTAGTGTGAAATAAAGTATGGACCATGCCTCATTCACTAATTCTTTATCTGTGTCATCTTTCATTCAAAAGATAAGGATAAGATTTTAATATGACTGTCAGGCTTGTCATATTGAATGTTACTTGGGTCTGAATTTAGGTAGGGATTATCCAGTAGAAATATTGACAGAGACCTGCAGGTCCTGATAAAGAAAAAGAATCGAGTGTTGATAAAGTTTCATAACAGATTTGTATACAGAACTTACTGCTAGGTCCAACTACAGAGCCAAATAATCCCAGACTTGGAAGAGCAGTAAGTGCTACTCTGGTACCCTCAGCTGGCCCAAGATAGCATCTCATGAGGCAAGCACTTAATCCTGAAATGAAACACAACACATGAATAAGAACAAAAGCAGGTGATGGGCTAAAAAATTGAAAACATCCCTGAAAGTAACTTTCATGTTATCTCAACCTGCACCGTTTTAATAGTTTTTATAGTATTTGCATATAAACTGTGATGTCTTTATAAGATGGGGTAGGCATAGCAAATTTAGGATCAGCTGGGATGAGGATGGAAGTATGGTTGATTGTAACTTTTTGGTATGTGATTTTGTAAAACAAGATCAGTCTGTATTGCAGTGTGCATGTTTTTGGTGTCAGCCACTGAGGTTGGTGTAATATCTGTGACCAAGCTCATAATGTGATATTTGTTGTTGATGTAACATGCTGCTCTTCATTGCATTGGTTTGTGTTGTTGGAGTCGCATGCAAAAAAAAGCAGCATTCAAGTTTTGGTAGTGCTTTGTATGCTTGCTCTCTAATTTGAGGAGCGTAAGTTTTGAGGTTATGTTTAAGGAAGCCTGAAGATTTATTTGTATTAGTTTTAAGTTGGTTTGTAGTGTTATTCCTACATCTTTGCTTGATTTTACATGTTCTAGTGTGTGGCAATGGAGTTTGTAGTTTTGATATATTTTGTTGCATTTGTGATGCTAATGATGCATTTGTTAAGGTGAAATGTCCGAATACAGTCTGTTTCCCATGGTCCTGTGGCATCCAGATCTTATGGTTTTAGTGAGTCATCTTTGTTTGATATTTTCTTGCATATGATGCTGTCATCATGTATTCTTGGAAGTTTTTAATGTAATTAAAGGAAAGGGATAGGTCCTAAACAGGTTCCTTAAAGGACTTGGATGTTACTGGTAATGTGTCTGATTTTTTTCCCTCTCAAGTGCAACTGTTTAGGTGTATAATGTGGGAAAGTGTATGAGTTCCATACTATCCCGGTGAATTTTAGTTTGTACGATAGGCATATGTGTTGAACTTCATCAATTACTACTAAGACAAAGTCTATAATGATGATGATTGTGTCTTGTTTTTGTTGTTGGCAAGGAAAATGTTGTTTATGAATGTTATGGAGGATCTTAAACCGTGTTGTAAATCATACAAGATAATGGGTTAGTTGGTAACCTACTGATCGCATGTTGGTGTTCTCGTACCGTTTCTCGATATCTAAAGCCGTATTTGTTCTCTTACCGATGTCGTAATAAAGTTATTGGGAGCTTTTCTTATAGCTGAACTTCTAAACGATGTAAACTAAAGGATCGTTTTTCCTTTTCGTGTGATCAGTTGTGATATGAATTAATTGAGTCAATCAGTTAATTACTTGCTCTATTGTTTTGAATCATAGTTAATGGCAATATCTTCGGATGCTATCTACAAACACCCCAGTCAGTTTCAAGTGTCGCTTTAATATCTATCAATATATTTTGTCAGCCATAAATAGCTGAAGGTCATGAAAACATACCCGTAAAAGCAGCAAAAGAGCAAGCTGTTGCAGCTTTTTTCTCTGTCTGTTGTCCATCTGGAATTGTCCACAGCACATGCCAATCAAATTTCCAGTCTTTATGAAGTATGAAACCCTTTATATCATTAATCCCATCTTCTTTCTCGTGGGATTGTTTCTCTTCGCTCTCCATGTTTGATAAAGTTTGGTCTACAAGACGTTTAGTTCATGCCTCCACAAACGACATGATAGACAAGTGCTTGACAGAGGCAGATTTTTAACCGGAAGTAAATAAATACACGTCACTTGCAAAGAAATTGATCATCGAGAGACGTCGAAAACCGAATATTGAATCATTTTCTTCTAGAAGATTGACGACCAAGCACAAACAATTTAGCAGTAAGTAATATGATTTAAGTCGCTACCTAGAGGCAAAAGCATAGAAAATCATTTGGTACTTCAAGGTAAATTTCGTCAGCGAGTTCACTTTATACAAGCAATAGAAGGGTAATATTAATAGTCTTTATTTCTTTTTCTTCAAAATCATGACAAGCCGTCATTAAGTTAATAAGGATATATCATGCGCTGAAATATGTTCATAGGATTTTTTGTTTGTTTTTAATACAGAATGTGCAACTTACTCCTCATCAAAATCATTTCATTGTGATTGAAGAACTCGTGTATGATATGTATTAATTTGTTACTGTAACAAAGAAGATAGATACCGAATGTTTACATCCATGGTGCCTCAGTTTTGGACCTCTTCACCAAACACTTATAAAATCGATGTCCTATGTGCTGCACATTATGCAGTTTTAGAGTCACAGCTGTCGAGGAGGACTTCATTATATTGGTTTCGAATAAAGATTTTTATTGTGAAACAGGCAATGCGTGAAAAACATAGATATTTGTTTTTATATTGTAGTGATGGGGTGATGATTGGATACAATAAAATATCTAATCGTTTAACCTCATCTGATGCAATGATTGGTGGTAAATTTTTCGTAATTGAATAAAGTTACATACATATACCCAGAGACGTATATATACGTCTCTGATATACCTTAATATTCTCTTGTGTTGAGGCAGAAACAATATTCATATCACATAAAATAAGGATGCAAATAATATTTGTTCTGATGCAATTTCTAGGTAAATGAGATATTTTAGGTTAAAATTACAAAAAAAAAAAAAAAATTATCACTGTATTCACTTTCTATGAATACTGAACACAAAGTCAACTGATTATTTAATCCATTAAATATATTGAATAGTCTATCAGATTTTTACACATTTTTTATTTTAACCAATTACTAATCACTAATTTATTGTCACTTGCTTGTGACAGCTATGAAATTGTAGTAAGTATTTTGGTCTATTAGGATTTAATGCTACTTTCACTTTGATCTGTTAAATGATAAATTGATAACATTTACATAGTCTTTATATTGTTTACACTCAAAATTTTGTCAAAAATGATATGTGTTTGAAACAGTATGTGTATTTGTAAATAACTTGATCTGTGACGAAATATAATTCTGCAAAAGCTATATATATTGGATGCTGAATTGCCAAGTCTTGGAAAAAGAGAAATCTTGTATTGTTAATGGAGATTAATATACAAAGAAAAATAAAAAAAAAAAAACACCTCATCTGCAATATGAAATGCATTTTTTGTTGTCCTGACTCTCTTTTACATACAATACTGGTTCCCAACTTGCATAACTTTATACTTTAGAGGAACAACTGGCTGAGATCAAAGCTTTACATTAGATATTGTGGATTCTTATGTTTGCTGTGCTCCAGAGAGTGATTCCTGTGTATGTTGTGACATCATGATGTTGATTGGTGATATTTTGTTTACCTAAACACAGAGAAAACATGCATAATTCAATAAATAGAAATGGAAATTTTAGGGCATTCTGTTCAGACTTTTAATGTTACTGTCAAAACTTCATTCAATGACATACTTCTAGTGGAATAGGAGATCTGTTTCTCGTTTGATAAACCAAACAATTTTAAGAAGTGGGGAAAGCAACTCTCTTAATTTGTCATATCTCAAGTAATGCTGGTGGTATATATTTTTTTTCTAATTTTGTTTTAATACTACCAGTAAGATAAAAAGGGTGAGAACTTTATGGTTTATATTTGAGTCCTGATTTGAATATTATGGTAGGACTCTGTGCAATGTTTAGTGGCAGAGTCTATCAATGGTTTGAGGAAAGAAGGATTGCATGTGATTTTGTGTGGTCAAATGATGATCAAGTAACAGCATGTTTATGGATCAGTTAAAGAAGTAAAACTTTCTTTTTCTTCCATTGCTACTAGAACTTGGCCAGATATGATTTAGAAGAACAAAATAAGGGTACTTCTGCAATCTTGAAGTGTTGGCCAATTCAGGGTTTTTAACATATCTGAAACACTGTTTGAATCTTTGTCATCTTTGAAAAAGTTTCTAGTGCCTCTTGTAAAGATCATTTATATATTTTTCCAGTGTTTTTGGCGACAGGTCTCAAACGGTGTAAATGTCTTGTGGGCTGTTCTTAGTTTTCATGTTGTTTGTTTTAATGTTTCTGAATATAAATTTCTGGAATTTGATATTGATCCTGTGCAAGTTAAATGAAAAGTATGATATAATGGTGAGGCCTAGATATTTTGTTGCCTTTGTAGGTAAGTTTTTTTCCATGTTATTTATATGAATATATATGTAATGGGATTACATTTGTATGATATAGTAGCAAATTTCCACTTCCATTCATGGGAAAGAATTGTATCTTGAAAGCTATACACTTCCTTGATAAATTGCAGCAAATTATTACATACATGTATTGAAATATGTTCATACTTTGATGTTTATAAGATAAGACTTCGTTTTGATTTCCCCCAAATATCCACAGATATACAACAAACATTTTTCACCTGATATGGCAAACAAGTATTTAAGAAACATGAAAGCACTGATGACAACACAGTAAATATTTTCTGATGACATCACTAAATCACAGAGACTCATGGATTAGCCTTCAGTAATCCAGAAGATTATCAATAATATGACTCACAAATTGCTTAAATGCTTTGAACAGTTTTAGAGTAAAGTTTCAATCCTTTTCTTTAAGTGTTTGACTATCCATTAGTTATTTGTCTTTTCTTTTACAGAAACTTGAATTCCATGTGATTAAAGCTGTTTGGTTGAGACTGAAACACAAAATTATACCTGATTGATCAAAAGTCTTGATATATAGCTGAAAAACAACAAGCAAAATGGCAAACAAATTGGAGTTTTGCCTTTCTCTTCTGATTTGCATCATGAATATCCACTTTGGGATAGGTGAGTACAATGGACTGAAAACTTGAGTTATAAGTGAAAGTATGCAGTAGACTTGTATTATAGATGATAATATACTGTAGACTAGTGTTATACATGAAAATACACTATAGACTGGTGTTATAGGTAAAAATACATTGTAGACTGGTGTTATAGGTTATGATTGCCTATAAGCTGGTGTTATAGGTGATAATATACTATAGGCTGGTGTTATAGATGATAATATACTATAGGCTGGTGTTATAGGTGATAATATACTATAGGCTGGTGTTATAGGTGATAATACACTGTAGACTGGTGTTATAGGTGATGATACACTATAGACTGGTGTTATAGGTGACAATACACTGTAGACTGGTGTTATAGGTGATAATATACTATAGGCTGGTGTTATAGGTGATAATACACTGTAGACAGGTGTTATAGATGATAATACATATTAGACTGTGTACTGATATATCTATATTTATATGTGCATCCATGCTTGCAGAATGTTTGATTGTCATGGTAAAACATGTTCAGTACTCAATGTTGTTTTTTTATTAGCCCACCATCATCAGATGGTGGGGTATTCAAATCGCCCTGCGTTCGTGGTCCGTCCGTCTGTAAACAATTCTTGTTACCGCTATTTCTGGGAAAGTACTGGATGGGTCTTTCTCAAATTTCATATGCAGGTTCCCCTTGGTCCCTAGTTGTGCATTGTACCTTTTTTTTTGGACTGATCTGAAATCAAGATGGCTGACAGACGGTCATCTTGGATTTTGGAAGTAAAAGTTTGTTATCGCTATTTCTTGGAAAGTACTGGATGGATCTTTCTCAAATTTCATATGCAGGTTCCCCTTGGTCCCTAGTTTTGCATTGTACCTTTTTGGACTGATCTGAAATCAAGATGGCTGAAAGGCAGCCATCTTGGATTTTGAGAGTAAAATCTTGTTACCGCTATTTCTGAGGAAGTACTGGATGGATACTTCTGATATTTCATAGGTATTGGTTTCCCTTGGTCCCTAGTTGTGCATTGTACTTTTTTTGGACTGATTTGAAATCAAGTTGGCCCACAGGCAGCCATCTTTGATGTCGACAGTAATACAGCACAAGCATATTTTCTTCGATATTTTATCATATTGATTCAAGACCATGTCCATTATCCACCTGTAACTGACTGCTATCTAATAATACTTTGGGATCTTTTTCAAATGATATTTGCTAATAGGTGCTTAATAAAAATATCTTGTGCCATCATTGAGTACATTCAATGAAGACCAGTTCATGAACATTTACAAAACCTGTAACAAAAAAAAAAAAAAAATAAACAAATCTTCAAGAACTGAAAACAGATCCTCAAATGGTGGGCGCCAAGATCCCTCTGGGATCTCTTGTCTTAATAACCCTTAGATTATTTAATTCAAGCTTTTCTAATGGAATAACTACTTAAATACTATTTCTTTAATATGACTTATTAGATCATAGATAATTACAAAATTGTTACTATTGAAACCCATGGGACTTCTGATTGTCTGATTAAGCTGAAATTAATATATTAGGATTTTAAGGAATGGCAAATACAACAATGCTATTTTCCAAAACATCAGTTATCATCAGCTAAAAGACGTGAACATTACAAATTATGGACAGTTGGGAATATTAGTTTGCCAGTGTTATTACTTCCAGTATCTGTTGCAGGGTCCATAAGTGGTGGAGGAGGAGATCAGGTTTTGCTGACAAATGTACAGTCGTTGACCTTGTACAATGGCCGAATGACAAACTCACGACGAAGTGGTCCAGTGCCTCAGTTGAAATGTGTAGGAGGATCTGCTGGATGTGGTGCCTTTGTTCCTCAGGTAGTCCAGTGTACAAACAAAGGCTCAGATGGCTATGATGTTCAGGTAAGACCTTTCTGCAGTACCTGATTTTTCGCTCACCTGGTTCAAAGTTTGTAGAGTACATGCTTTTAAAATCCTACTCCTCCTGTAGGAACGAATGGATATTGCCTCTTATAGTTTTAGTGTAATACTCTGGACAAAATTTAAGTATGAAAAATAACAAAGGGCAATAACTCCTAAAGTATGTAAGAGAGAGTGATGATTCTGGTGCATTGCAATTCTCCTAGTTGAGATCTATATACCTTTAAGTTTATGTTGATACCTCTTAAAGATTTTGTGTTATGCTATGGGCAAAATTATGACAGACGGACAAATGAATGGACGGACAGACAGACAGACAAAGCGGCGACTATATGCTCTCCCTTCATGGAGCTTAATACAGTGGATTCTGGTCCCCTGTGGAAGGAGGGGTGGGGCCCAGTAGGGAAATGGATCTATATGTCAACCAAATTTGGTCAGAAGTATCCTTGGGTAAAGCGGAATAAAGTTTGTTTGATGATTGGTTCTCAGCTTCCAGGAGCCTCAGTAGTGGATCCCAAAAGGTGAAATTTTCTTTAAAATCCTATTCCTTCAGATTTGAGCTGAAGCATTCTTGGATGAAGGGAAATCTTTTTTGTATAAAGAGTAAGTCTTGGCCCCTTTGTGATGGAAGACAGATGCAATAGAGGAAATTCTTTAAATTTCTACTCCTCATGAAGGAATGAATGATTGGATTTTGCCCAAATTTAGTCCGAAGTGTTTTTTTAGTTAAGGGGAATCAGTTCTGTAAAAATGTGCATCCCAGCCAGGTAGGGCGGCATGAGTGGGACTAATTACAAGGATATTGTTCAAGTTTAGTCTGAAGCAGTTTTTATGAGTTTGGTAGGGTAGAAGTGTAAGAATAAGTAACCTGTAATGAAGTGTGATTACAGTGGGAATGACCAGGTTGGAAAGGTAGAGCTGTGTAATGATAAATAATCTGTTATACAATGTGATTACAGTGGGAGTGTAAGACAGACATGGACAATGCCTACAGGTTTGGGAGAGTAGAAGTGACCTGTGAGGGATATGATTATCCAGAGGATCCCTCTGTACTTCGAGGCTCTTGTGGTGTAAGTACTTGTATCGTTTGTGTCTAAGCCAAGACCATCAGATGCTCTGAGTGTTTAAGTGAATACTGCTAAATATTATCTATTCTGATCATTTCTCTTTGATCGGTTATTTCTGAAGTCAGGTATAAGAAAAAAAAAAACAATAAATAAGAAAAAAACAAAACCTCAAAGTTCTGTTGAATTATTTTACATCTGTGATGTCATATTTTAGCTGGAATACACTATTGATCTGACTGAGGAAGGGCATCAGAGAAAGCATCAGCAACATCATAATTATGGCAGCCATTATAATAGTTACAATGACGACTACCATGACCGATCATCCTATCAGTCTGGGTAAGACACTTTTATCATTATAACACAACAAAAAATTCCAATGGACAAATTCTAATCTGTACATGTTGTAATTACAGTTACGAGTGGGCTAGTGTTAACCTGTACGTGTTGTAATTACAGTTACAGGTGGACTAGTGTTAACCTGTATATGTTGTAATTACAGTTACAGGTGGACTAGTGTTAACCTGTACATGTTGTAATTACAGTTACAGGTGGACTAGTGTTAACCTGTACATGTTGTAATTACAGTAACAGATGGACTAGTGTTAACCTGTACATGTTGTAATTACAGTAACAGATGGACTAGTGTTAACCTGTATATGTTGTAATTACAGTTAATGATGGACTAACTTGTACATATTGTAATTACAGTAACAGATGGACTAGTGTTAACCTGTACATGTTGTAATTACAGTAACAGATGGACTAGTGTTAACCTGTACATGTTGTAATTACAGTTACGAGTGGACTAGTGTTAACCTGTATATGTTGTAATTACAGTTACGAGTGGACTAGTGTTAACCTGTACATGTTGTAATTACAGTAACAGATGGACTAGTGTTAACCTGTACATGTTGTAATTACAGTAACAGATGGACTAGTGTTAACCTGTACATGTTGTAATTACAGTTAGTTAATTACAGTTACAGAGTGACTAGGGTTAACCTGTACATGTTGTAATTACAGTTATGTGTATATGTTGTAATTACTACAGATGGACTAGGGTTAACCTGTACATGTTGTAATTACAGTAACAGATGACTAGTGTTAACCTGTACATGTTGTAATTACAGTTACAGATGGACTAGTGTTAACCTGTACATGTTGTAATTACAGTTACAGAGTGACTAGGGTTAACCTGTACATGTTGTAATTACAGTAACAGATGGACTAGTGTTAACCTGTACATGTTGTAATTACAGTAACAGATGGACTAGTGTTAACCTGTACATGTTGTAATTACAGTTACAGGTGGACTAGTGTTAACCTGTATATGTTGTAATTACAGTTACAGGTGGACTAGTGTTAACCTGTACATGTTGTAATTACAGTTACAGGTGGACTAGTGTTAACCTGTACATGTTGTAATTACAGTAACAGATGGACTAGTGTTAACCTGTACATGTTGTAATTACAGTAACAGATGGACTAGTGTTAACCTGTACATGTTGTAATTACAGTTACGAGTGGACTAGTGTTAACCTGTATATGTTGTAATTACAGTTACGAGTGGACTAGTGTTAACCTGTACATGTTGTAATTACAGTAACAGATGGACTAGTGTTAACCTGTACATGTTGTAATTACAGTAACAGATGGACTAGTGTTAACCTGTACATGTTGTAATTACAGTTACGAGTGGACTAGTGTTAACCTGTACATGTTGTAATTACAGTTACAGAGTGACTAGGGTTAACCTGTACATGTTGTAATTACAGTTATGGATGGACTAACCTGTATATGTTGTAATTACTGTTACAGATGGACTAGGGTTAACCTGTACATGTTGTAATTACAGTAACAGATGGACTAGTGTTAACCTGTACATGTTGTAATTACAGTAACAGATGGACTAGTGTTAACCTGTACATGTTGTAATTACAGTTACAGAGTGACTAGGGTTAACCTGTACATGTTGTAATTACAGTAACAGATGGACTAGTGTTAACCTGTACATGTTGTAATTACAGTAACAGATGGACTAGTGTTAACCTGTACATGTTGTAATTACAGTAACAGATGGACTAGTGTTAACCTGTACATGTTGTAATTACAGTTACGAGTGGACTAGTGTTAACCTGTACATGTTGTAATTACAGTAACAGGTGGACTAGTGTTAACCTGTATATGTTGTAATTACAGTAACAGATGGACTAGTGTTAACCTGTACATGTTGTAATTACAGTAACAGATGGACTAGTGTTAACCTGTACATGTTGTAATTACAGTAACAGATGGACTAGTGTTAACCTGTACATGTTGTAATTACAGTAACAGATGGACTAGTGTTAACCTGTACATGTTGTAATTACATTTACAGAGTGACTAGGGTTAATCTGTACATGTTGTAATTACAGTTACGAGTGGACTAGTGTTAACCTGTATATGTTGTAATTACAGTAACAGATGGACTAGTGTTAACCTGTACATGTTGTAATTACAGTAACAGATGGACTAGTGTTAACCTGTATATGTTGTAATTACAGTTAATGATGGACTAACTTGTACATATTGTAATTACAGTTACAGGTGGACTAATGTTAACCTGTATATGTTGTAATTACAGTAACAGATGGACTAGTGTTAACCTGTATATGTTGTAATTACAGTTAATGATGGACTAACTTGTACATATTGTAATTACAGTTACAGGTGGACTAGTGTTAACCTGTATATGTTGTAATTACAGTAACAGATGGACTAGTGTTAACCTGTATATGTTGTAATTACAGTTAATGATGGACTAACTTGTACATATTGTAATTACAGTTACAGGTGGACTAGTGTTAACCTGTATATGTTGTAATTACAGTAACAGATGGACTAGTGTTAACCTGTACATGTTGTAATTACAGTAACAGATGGACTAGTGTTAACCTGTATATGTTGTAATTACAGTTAATGATGGACTAACTTGTACATATTGTAATTACAGTTACAGGTGGACTAGTGTTAATTTTAGCTCAGGGTATCAATTAAGTACCTATTAAATTTTTTAAAAATCCTCTTCCTTTGTTGTTGTGATTGATATCCTTATCTGATTTTCCCTTGTGCTCAATTACCCATTCATACCATAAGATATCCAGCTGAGGAGTGAAGGAACCCACAACCCACTTAACCAGAACGAACAGCATTGGCTCTATTACATTAATTCTTCTTTCGTAATTTTAGTTACCAGTGGACTAGGGTAAAGCTGTATATATATGTTGTAATTACAGTGATGGATGAACTAACCTGTACATGTTGTAATTACAGTTATGGATGAACTAACCTGTACATGTTGTAATTACAGTTATGGATGGACTAACCTGTATATGTTGTAATTATTGTTACAGATGGACTAGGGTTAACCTGTATATGTTGTAATTACAGTTACGAGTGGACTAGTGTTAACCTGTACATGTTGTAATTACAGTTACAGATGGACTAGTGTTAACCTGTACATGTTGTAATTACAGTTACAGATGGACTAGTGTTAATCTGTATATGTTGTAATTACAGTTACAGTGTGACTAGGGTTAACCTGTACATGTTGTAATTACAGTTACAGTTAGACTAGGGTTAACCTGTACATGTTGTAATTACAGTTATGGATGGACTAACCTGTATATGTTGTAATTACTGTTACAGATGGACTAGTGTTAACCTGTACATGTTGTAATTACAGTTACAGATGGACTAGTGTTAATCTGTATATGTTGTAATTACAGTTACAGTGTGACTAGGGTTAACCTGTACATGTTGAAATTACAGTTACAGTTAGAATAGGGTTAACCTGTACATGTTGTAATTACAGTTACAGGTGGACTAGTGTTAACCTGTATATGTTGTTATTACAGTTACAGGTGGACCAGTGTTAATCTGTATATGTTGTAATTACATTTACAGAGTGACTAGGGTTAATCTGTACATGTTGTAATTACAGTTATGGATGGACTAACCTGTATATGTTGTAATTACTGTTACAGATGGACTAGGGTTAACCTGTACATGTTGTAATTACAGTTACAGTTAGAATAGGGTTAACCTGTATATGTTGTAATTACTGTTACAGATGGACTAGGGTTAACCTGTACATGTTGTAATTACAGTTACAGTTGGACTAGTGTTAATCTGTATATGTTGTAATTACAGTTACAGTTAGAATAGGGTTAACCTGTATATGTTGTAATTACAGTTACAGTTGGACTAGTGTTAATCTGTACATGTTGTAATTACAGTTACAGTTAGAATAGGGTTAACCTGTACATGTTGTAATTACAGTTACAGGTGGACTAGGGTTAACCTGTACATGTTGTAATTACAGTTACAGTTAGACTAGGGTTAACCTGTACATGTTGTAATTACAGTTATGGATGGACTAACCTGTATATGTTGTAATTACTGTTACAGATGGACTAGGGTTAACCTGTACATGTTGAAATTACAGTTACATAGTGACTAGGGTTAACCTGTATATGTTGTAATTAAAGTTACAGAGTGACTAGTGTTAACCTGTATAAGTTATAATCTAGTTATTTGTGGACTAACTGGTATATGTTGTGGCTACAATTATGGATGCATTAGTGTTAACTATGTAGCTGTTGTATTTACAGTTATGGTAAGAAAGCCAGCTCTGTCCTGGGTGACCTCATTCTGCTGTGTGCTATAGGAGGGGTTGTGTACATCATCTATAAGACCTGTATTGTTGGCAGTCAACAGACAGAAAATGGATACCCCAACCAGAGACAGGACAATCAGTGGGGTAGCAGTCAACCTCCACCCCCAGGCTTCAGACAGGATTACATGCCAGGTGGAGGTGAGTTATTAGCAGAATTGCTCTTCTGAATTAATCTCACTGATGATACAACATGTGAAACTGAAAATGTTTTATGAGTAAAAGAATGCTTTGAATTTCTGTTGTATGCATTGTGTATTTATGATTTTACAGACTCCTGCTCTGGTTCATCCTACTACTCTGGGGGCCACACCAACTACACTCGACCTGGTAATATGGGCGGAGGCTTCTGGACAGGTGCTGCCACTGGTGGCCTCCTTGGATACATGTTTGGGAACAGGGGCAACAATTATTACGGCAGCAGGACATATTCACCATACACAGGCTCTTCCTTCTGGGGTCAGTCACGCACCCACCGTCCTTCTGCATTCTCAGGGGGATCCTCTTTCTCTTCATTTGGAGGTGGCGGAAGCTCAGGTACCAGAACAGCCTCTGGGTTTGGTGGCACCAAACGCAGATGAGTTCATCAGTATTTGATTGTCATGAAGATATAGAATGTCTTTGGCATTGTTGGAATGTTTCAGATTTAAAGAACGCCAATTAAGAAACAATCTGAACACAACTACTCAAAAGGGTAGAGAGGAGAAGATTTGTTTTTCTGAAAGTCAATTTTTTTTAACCCTTAAGACATCATTCTCTGTACGGCACCGTTTAACAGATTAAACATATTCTTTTCATCCTGCCGCAAGCCCAGGGACTCATTTTCAAAACCATTGGTTGGGCTTACTACACAAAGTGAAATAGCACTGGTGTATAATTTTACCAATTATTTATATGGATGGGCTTATTACAAGGCATGGGCTTATATATAGCAATATTAGTTAATCAGAGAATGATCCAAGAATGGAATAATTAAGATATAAATGATGGATTTGAAAGTGGAGATTTTTTAAACAGCTGTTCTGTTCTTCAGTTTAAGTAATATGGTGTAATTCATTGCAGATTTAATTTTCATGTTTTTTCCTTGTTGTAATTGTCTTAAAGTCTCTGATTACTTGGAAACATTTAAACTTTAAAATGTTAATGCAAAAATTGGTACCATTGTAGACAAAGAAAAGCATTTTTATCATAATTCATGTTTGTTTATGCATTCATTTTTTTTTAAATACACTGGTTTTGTTTCTGCAACAGAGAAATGTTTTCTAATGTTACTGAGGTACAGAAATGTATCCATGTTACTGAGATACACACAAGTATCCTAATGCTACAGAGATACAAAAAGGTGTCCATATTACTGAAATACAGAAAAGTAACTTAATGTTACTGAGATACAGAAAGGTGTCCATGTGAATGAGATACAGAAAAGTATCTTAATGTTACTGAGATACAGAAAAGTATGCTAATGATACTGAGATACAGAAAAGTGTCCATGTCACTGAGATACAAAGCTAAATTAGCTGTTTTTATCTGTATCATCTGATTTTCACTTATATCGGAGTACACAATATCCAATCAGTTCATACGCATTGGAAAATATATGTTTGTATATGTAAAATTAATCTCATTCCATGATTTTCTATTTCATTTTTTTTTGATTGGTGTGAATCTTGTAAAACCCTGTTATTATATGCAATGTTTGTACTGATTTATCATGGACCCATAACTGTGATATACATGTAGTGAAATCGAGTACTCTTTATGTCATATAGTTTGTTGGATGTTTATGAAATAGGTTTTAGAAAATTTTAGAAACATAAAACACTTTAAAAACCATTTTCAGTATTGTCTTGTATACTGGTAAATATCTTTTTCATATTACATAAAATTTGTAGGGAGGGTTGAATTTGAAACTTCCATATATATCAGTATTTACTTGTAAAATATGTGTTGTATGACTGTCTTTGGAAAATAGCTGATATGTGGAATGGTGCAATGTTCCTGTGAGAATCATATGAACCCCAACAGCCACCAAGATTTTTACTTTGTCCCTGTGATAGTCTTACAAGCCACCAACATTGCTATAAAATTAGTATTGCTTGTTGACAGTCCTGTAAGATCTATTGTGATAGAATAATCATTTCAATCTACCACTGGAATGTTACTGTCATACATCAGCCCTTGATATATGTACAGCAGCTGTCATAGTTTTTCATGAAGATTTCTGGGAAAGCTGTCTGTTGTTGGTCAAGTACAGTGTATAGCTGGGAGTTACAGCAAACAACATATTTAAAGACAGCTGTGTTTTGATAGAGCAAGCAGATTTAAGGCCACAATTGTGGAGACAATAAGTGATATTGTAACATGAGTAGGACCGTTATTCTATAAGTGTCATGGATCAGCCTTGAATGATTGTAGGATCAATGTTGGTCTTTCTTAGGATTCTGAGTGACTTGGATGACCCCTTATTACAGATAGCACAAAATCTAGAAATAGAAAATGTCATTTGCTATAGCTTAACAGACCTACGAAATAGCCTGAACGTAAAATTACCGTAAATGCTAAAAAAAGTTAAAACTTGATAAAAGAGATTTACAGCAGCATTTTCAGTTGCAGAATTTGTCAGTTTTGTACAACCAATACATGAATATTTCATCAATTTTCCAAATTTTATGTCGTAAAACTTATATTTTCAACATAATTATTGAAATTAGGGTACAAAAATCTTGTAGTGGCAATGTTGCAAGCCAAATTACAGATTGACCTTAACACTTGCACAATTTATATATGAAAGACTATTAATAATAATGTTTTCATTTCATTAATGTAATTTTTACAAATAACTTTTTCTGTAATGTACCAAACCAATAAAGTTATCACAATACATACCCAAATGATTTTATAATGTAACCATGTGCAATTAGGAACTGTTGATCTTGACACTACATTTTTGGTATTTGTTTATGCATAATTTCATTGTCATTCTAATCAATATTTTACTTTTAAAAGACTTAATACCAGTTTACTACCTGATAATAAAGTCGAAAGAAAAATACCATCCAGTGAAATTGCCTAAGAATGTGTCTGTGACAAACAGACAATTTTTGTAGAATGGCTGTTTTAAAGAAACATGGTTTAGAGTTTATGGCCTTAACTGACAAAGTGGAGTTAAATACTCACATTCTGTTATCTTACTTATCAATAAATTGTTTTTGGATGATTGCGTGTTTTGTAATGATCAGTCACCTACTCTGAATAGAAAGTTATTATTAGTTATCAGTATTTGGTTTGAACTACAGCAAACAGCAGATATTTGGTTAAGAATACTAGACCATATTTAGTTAAAGTTAAAATTAATCTTTACATATTGATATTGTTTGGAAATACAATGTGTTAAGGTAGAGTGTCCCACCAATTTTCTAATTTATAAAAGTATATATACAGCAATTTAAAGGAGCTCTTCTTTGTGGAAGATGCAACTCTGAGCAGTGGTACACTACACCTTAACATAAAGTTTGATAAACCTTAATGAGAGTACATGTTTGTTAATTTTCTTATTTTTCAAATTTCTGTTGTAGTTATCATAGTAGTGTATTCTGTGTCACAGTGTGCAAACAACATCCTGCACTTGTCATTATTGGTAACACCTTAGAAAGCCTTTTTAAGTCAATAAGTGTTTGAAGGGGGTCATGTGTGCTATTTTACCTGTGATATATATCATAAATGTGTTCTTCTTGAGATACATTAACTAGAACCAGTTGCCCCACTAAATTTGGAATTAAGTAATATAGTGTGTCACAACAGAAAGTGATTTATAGGTCTATATGTTGTGATAGAATATGTACAAACTTAATTGTTAAGGACTGAAAACTCCATGTATGTCACGTAAGCTGTGGCAAGGGGACGACCTGCAAGAATGGCTAAACATGTTGGTTACCAGCAGAAGAAAGAAGAGTAGAATGATCAGAAACTAACGACTATAGGAGTTGCTCCTGTTATTTTCTGTTTTACTTTATTACAGACTGTGAGAATGTCATTGTACTTGTTGTTATTGTTGATATTTTTCTTTCATTTCATAATAAACAATTTCAGCAAAACTTCAGTCTTGCTTTGTTTGTTAAATAAATTTTTGGTTTCTTTCCTTTTTTTCCAAATAATTTTCAAATGCAAGGAAAATATCATAGATTGTCTTGAAATGTATACCATAAAATATTTGTTGTTTTTGTGGCTTTAGACAAAGGAAGAAATTGATCAATTTTATACATAGTTTTTTCTCTTAATACATCATTTTGGGTTTAAAAAATAGAAGTACCTGTAAATATTTTATGTTATGCAGTATTGCAACTAATAAGACTTTAAACTGATTAATTTTAAGCATACTTGTAGTTTTCTCTCTTAATATCACATTTTGGGTTCAAAAAATAAAGATACATTTGAATATGTTTTGAAGTAATATGAAATGTAATGTAATGGCCAATTGCAATAATTTCTTTACGGCTGTAGTAACAAACAACTCGGAGTTGGTACGTTGTGTCATCAAAGATTAACATAGCATCACATATGAAAATTGTTCGATCAGGGACATGTCTTCCTAAACATGGATTATATAACTAGGTCAGTACTAAAATTCTGGTGATAATTTGAAGGGACATGTTGATGCATCTTCATCTATAATTGCTAGGATTCAGCACGCTGTCTTGATGATTTTTTCTGATTTATTCTATATGTGCTTATATCTCATTATAACTAGATCACTTGACAAATAGCAAATAAATATTGTACAGCCAAGACTGACCAAAAAAAGGGAAGTGACCAAAGATTACCATTTATCAGGCTGCACTGCATATTCATGGAATATTGCCATTGAAAACCATCAATAGCAGGCTTTTTAAATGCCATATACTTCATTATCTTTGGTCATCAGAAAACTTTTCATCTTTGAAAAAAGGGTGGTCACCTATTCATTTTGACAGTTGAAGAATTCCAGATGGGCATCTAGATCATCAAGGTTATTAATTAAGGTTTCCTTTGAAGCTAAGTTAACTTAAACACGCATCTTTCATTTGAGACTTTATGGAAAAACAAAATGATCCATTGCCATACAACCTTTTTTTGACACAGAAACTTGCATGATAATTACTATGTACCGTTATTTCTTGATTAAAAGCATTTATTGATACATTCATCAAATTTCATTTGTGGGTTTCAGTAATTTGAGATTATTATATACTTTAGTTATTTTACAACAATTGCGAAACAGGCTATCAGCTCGTATTAATCATTATTGTTGGCCGGGCTGGAAGTGTGCAATGGATCTTACTTTGGGAGGAAACTGGAGTACCTTGGGAAAACCCATGTGGTCGGGCAGGTGACCCCTTACCTTTTCATGTCCATTCTGGGAATCGTTCCCTGGACGACTAGGTGAAAGTGCCTTACCACTGCACCACTCAACCATTAATTTAAGAGAAATATGGAGGAGAAACCAATGCCCACTTGGAGTTTTGACTCGTGTCCAATAGAATGAATAGCTAGGAAACACAATGAGCTTTCAAACAACAGTGCTCAGGTTTACAGGTCACAGTTCGCCTATTTTTCATTAGATATCGCTCATTGCAGAAGGGTGATTAGTATTTATTGCTTCACTTTGTTTTTTAAAAATGGAACTTGACTTTAAAATTTGAAAAAAACTACATTTGATACTATGCAAACAAATTGATAAGGTCTGTGCTTTCAGCTATGACAAGGGTCATTGTTTGAATATAGCTCAATCTGATATAGGCTAAATATGGTATGAGAGTACCATGCTTTTTTCCACCAATACTAATTACCACCTGGACATACATCATTAACTAGCTAATACATAAAGCATAATGATTGGTTGACAGATTATATTCTAATTTAAAATGGTAACTTTAACTTTTTCAGTGGAGAATACTTTTCAGTAATTAAGTATTCAATAAATCAACAGATTATGATATATATCACAATACTAATTTCTGCTGCAGCCTATGCGTTAAGGGAGGTAACTCGTATACTTCTTTTCTGGAATACATTAATTGTATTACAAATATGACGTCGCGGTAAATTTTGTTGGCATGGCCATTGTGATTTTGTTACTAATTGCTAGTTTGGGTAAATAAGTTGATTATTGTAATTTACAAATATCCCGCTTAAAATAATATTTGATTTATATAAACGTTTAATGATCTTTAATAAAATATTTTGTGTAAAGCGTCTGATTGACTTTGATCTAAAGAGAGTTGCAGACTGCAGAAAAGTTTATTATGATTATAAAGAAGTAGTTTGCAACGACGGCAATGTGAAAGACACGCAAAACAAACGTTACTCGTTATCCATTCAGTATGGAAGACACTGGATCGGAAAATGAAGCTAAGGATACGGTGTGTTAACCAACTTTTTTTCTTTATTTCTGCGTTTTCATCCTCATGATCATACAGTACCCTTCACCTTTTCACCACGCACTGATCAGCTGATGATGACTTATTCAAAGGATAAGATAACCAGATAGGTTTGCTTTGTAACTGACTGCATCTTTTTTACTACTTGGCGATTTTGAGAATAAAAAGGTCAGCCCATGCCAAATAAATTCAACAACGTTATCACGCTGGTCAAAGTATATGCGTAATGGTCCTGCAGCCGACAGTGACACAGTGACAGTTACACAGTACTGCTCACAGTCATGAATTTGTTGCCCAAATGTATGATAATTTGAAGAAAAAAACACGTTAAGTTTTTTTGAAAACATTTGCAACAAAAATGACATATTATGACCCATAAACCATTGCAAAATTGTATATTTTTACACAAAAAGGACGAATTCATTTGTTTATTTTTTTTCTTTAAAGTCACAAACATGAGGACTTCAGTTGCTTTGATCAAAGTGTGACTTAGAATATAACACAAGTAAATCCATGCTCACCTATGACATTTGCACGAAATGTTCCCAATAGCTATACTTTTTCAGCCAACTCGAGTCTGTGGAGAACGAGTTATAGTCAGTTATTTTTTAGTTTATTCTGTGGGAAGGCAAGTCAGCCTACTTATGGTTCTATCTGCATTAACTATGCTTTCTGTTGGTCCCTTTAATGATTTCCAAACATTAGTCGTAACCAATGGTATAGTAGGGCTAAATGTTTGGCATATTCTTCCTGTTGTATTGTCGCTATCACCAGTGCAGTCTAGGGTTACGGAGGTGTTTAACTTAAAGACGATGGGATCCTAGTGAAATGCTTGAAGGCCTTTCGACCTCACTATGCCTATGCTGTAGATTGTAAATAAGAATACAGTGCAGGGATGCAGGATGCATATTTGACTAGGGGCAGGGGTATAAAAAGGGTTGTGCAGTGATAAACAGGGACATGCACGGCCAAGTAACTGGTCAACAATTAAAATTAGGAGAGGAAACCATCTCCTACCACCAGGCTCTGACAACATTTGCCACCAGATGCTGATCAGTTGTACCACACATATGCTGACAACATCAACATTTAGGTACATTATAAGGTGAATTCTATTGTCGGGGTCAGTTTTGGATAGTAGGGAGTGGTCATATCAACAGGATCTGGTGCTACATCTTAAATGCTTAATTAGTTACCATGTGGGGACTATTATAAGAGTAGAATTAGAAAATTAATGTTAGGATTTACTTTACTTTCAGAAACTTTATCTACATAGTATATATACTGTTGATATTTATATGACTGCCACGGCTATTTCAATATGAATAGTGATAAACTTACTTAACTTTACAAAGTGTTGATTGGTTTGTGATTTGTGTAATCCTCCCCATTTTGTGGACTTCAAGAATAAAAAGACTGACTGTTGCACTGGGATGAGTTTGTTGGAGTTTTCTGATGGCCAGCTTGTCGGTGGCTCTAGGAAACTAACTGAAGCTAAATATATTTTCATGGATTTGTCCTACTGAGTCCTGCGGACGCTCCCTATTACAATACTAATGAAAGCAGCAAACGGTAGATTATAAATTGTAGAAATGGAAGATGATGTTTTCTAGACATGAAACAGAAACTAAGTGACTTTCTATTTGTGCAGATCCTTCCAGCTAAAACTGTATACCTGCTGATGAAGAAGGACTACCGAATCTCCAGGAACATCCGAGCATCATGGTTTCTTGAGCATTTGAACAGTGTTATGGAGTTCAACCCTGTACAGTGCATTGTAAGAAATTGCTTCATAATTAATTGTATGAAGAATGTTCACTTAAATATGTTGAAAGGTTAGATGTTTGAATTTAACATGAAATGATGTCAGTGTTTACAGTCTCCTTTAAAAGCTCTGTCATAGTTATATGTACTCTTATGCAGTTCATGCCCTTATCAGGTTGCTCAAATTTTCTAGACATAAATTTGTATAAACATTTGTTTTCTCCATATGCTTAACATTTCTCTGGATTTAAACAAATGTAATCAGAAATGTATGAATTCTGACTACTTCTATGTTGTACATGGAATTATTGTTTGTCATAGCATTTGCTTACTGGTATTCAAATGTGTTACAATTATTCTAAAAACAGAATGATACAGATGAAGAACTCAAGCTTGTGTCTGTGGTACCAGCCACAAATGAGGAGACAGGTGATGATCAACTTCCTTTGGTGCAGCCAGGAATGCCTTTCATGTTTCAACTTCTTCCATCAACAGTGGTCACTTTCCTAGCCAAGCGCTACAGACTTGTATTTGTCCTTGATCTCAGCCCCTCAGCAGCATCTGTAGTAAGTTATCACTCTACAGAGAATCATGACATGTACAAGTATAACTTTCACCTCAATATTAGTAGTTGATGATGTAAGTGAGGTAAGCCTAGTTTTATGTATTGATTTATTTAGCTATAAGGAATTGATGTTGACCTTAGTTGAGAAGGGTATGTACGCCAGTAGATAAGTTATGTATAAAATTTTAACCTCAGAAGGATACAAAGGTCATGTTGAATTTGAAGTCATTGCTTAGTAGAGAATTTTATGAAATACTCTATTCTTGATTTTTTTATGTGTGGTTAGACATGTTCTCATTTGATATTAATACAATTTTTTTGAAGAAATATTGTACACTGTAAAAAAATTATTGCTGCAGAAGGGTAATGTCATGATTTTAGTGCTGTTTAGATTTGTCAGTGGATGTATGTGTTTGCTAACATGTGATTGTATTGTTATTATATGTAACGGAAGTCATATCCCAACCAAAGACTGAAAAATTAGTATTTTTGTCTGAAATAAAAGTGGTCCAGACTCACACATTCAATATGTACATAGACTTGTCTACAGTGAATCGTTGCTGAAGGTTTGCTCAACACACTCAGATTTGTTGATCAGACAGGATTTTGTTTTTATACAAACCAAGGACATTAAATTTTAATTGTCATTAACAAATCTCACAAGTCCTGATACATTTGGTTACCCTATATTTTTTGAATTCAGTCTATTTACTCATGAATATTCATATATTTTAGGATCTGAAGACTGGAGAAGTGCTGTTGGACAAAATCAGTCACAACCTCAGATGTAGCATTACTGGACTTGTAAAGCCAGTGAGTTTTCAGAGTTTATTTAGTGAGATACGTTTTTCTCTGAGCATGATATAAATACTTTGTACAAATATTCAATACAAAATCTTTATTTTGTGCTATGATATTCATAAGATGTTACCGTGGTAATTCGTTTTTTGTTTTTGTAGTTTATGCTTCCTGGCACCAAGATGAAGTTTGTACCTGAACTTTATGTCACAGTTATAGCCTACACACCTGTTCTAGCTTGTACGGCCAACCAGGTAAACTCACAATGACAGATTTATGTCACAGTCATAGCCTACATACCTAGTCTAGCTTGTACTGCCAACCAGGTAAACTCACAATGACAGATTTATGTCACAGTCATAGCCTACACACCTGTTTTAGCTTGTACGGCCAACCAGGTAAACTCACAATGACAGATTTATGTCACAGTCATAGCCTACATACCTGTTTTAGCTTGTACTGCCATCCAGGTAAACTCACAATGATGGAATGCTTGTACATTTTTTTTTATAATGATTAATCTTAACCAGTGACTTCTTTCGCTAATATGTAAAAATTTGGTCCCTTGTGTTTTAAAACTTAATCACAGTTGTATTAGAATATTGTTAGTGCTTTGACAACTGTAATGCTTGATCTGATGATGGATATGTATTTAACATGATCTGTCCAGCTCTATGGTCCAGTATCTAAAAATGTTTGAACCCCATTTTGTTGCATATTATTTTTCAACACATTATATAAAAGGCAACATCTGGAAAAGGTCCTGAATAATTATGGTAGATAATTGATGTTCCTGCAGGCAACAGTTGAAATAAAATCACCAAATTAATTGTAATGTCAATGATGTGAGTTGGTGTAATTTATGTGTTTAATTCATTATCTCTCTCTCTCGAATTACAGAGTATGTTTCTTTGGGTGTATTGATAGAGCTGTTGACTGTGATACCCCAGAACTGAGTTATGTTTCTTTTTGGACACTTAATGGGGATGTGTTTTATCTTCTCATTTACTGTTTCATATATATGTTTATACCATTATGTTGAAATTAATAATTGATGGAAAATATTTTGAGGAAATGGGTTATGTTTTTTTAAAATAGAAAGGAGGGAAAAATAAAATGGTCCTTGCTCGAAATGAGTTATTTGGTATGAGCTCTGCTGTGGACTGGCCTTTCATTTAAGCCCTGCTGCATACTAATAATGTTGAATTATAATGTGTACCTGCTGTTACAGGTTCTTGCCCAGGGAATGAAAGTAACAGAAGATAATGCAGAGAGCTTCCTTAGTTTAGTGCTGGATAGACTTGATAACTTTGAGCAAAGTTTGGCCTCAGGATTTAACAAACTGAACAACAACCTAACTGTGGTAAGAATTGGGATATTTCATGGTAGAGAAAAATAATTAATTTGACATCAAAATCTGTCCACAGGATGATATAAGTGGCAAACAGTAATGCTTAGCTATTATGATAATTTCTACGCTACCTACATTATACCTTAGCCTTGTTATAATCAGGCAAACTTGATTGTTTTACACTTGATATGAATACACAAAGTTAGAAAATGGCAGAACATAATGGAAATTGTCACAATATTCTTCTAGTTCGTATTAAATGTAGTTATATAATTACAGGTATACAGAATACCAGTTATTCTGTGTTGGTATATGGTATATTCTCAGACTTGAAATGTGATTATTGTTTAATCATTGAAGTTTATTGATTATGAGATGAAAAACACTATTGAATTCTGCATCATCCTTCAGATGGACGAGGACTTAGCTGAGAGTATTGGTTATGAAGAAGTTAATGCACACAGAAGAAAACTAAATGATTCTCTTTACAACCTTATCCGCCAAGGACTCTTTGGTCTTCAACTTCTTCCAGAGAACTCTAGTGCAGGTATTTTCATATGCATCTCATATGTCCTTTGGAAATGTTGTTTCTTGGCTCAAAAGTAACATTACCAGTGTTACTGTTTTCTAAATGGGATTGAATTTACTATTAGAAATTCTTTAATGTTGAAATGTTTTACAGGGATTATTATTGTGACGGATGCCATGATGGGATCACCAGATGCCAATATATTTGACCATATCATGACACAACTTAGAAACAGCACTGTTGCATGTTCCTTTCTTAAAATTGGTGAAACATACTGTGCCCGGTGTCAGTTTGGTTGTATACCACATGTAGAGCTGCTGCAGTTCATTGCCACGGCTACATTTGGAGCCTACTTTGCTATGTGTCCTGATGTTGTGAGTATAAGACTTTGTATACTACATTAAACAAAAGTAACCTAAATATAACTGAACTAGTGTGGACCTGTTATGTATAAGTAACCTCAGTATTGTTTAACTACTATAATTTCAGGTTTATAAATCACAACTTTTTTCCTCAGCAGTTGGGCTTGTAGCTTATATGCCAGTGCGGATTATATGTGGACGAAAATAAAAATTGGCAAAATGAAAAAAATAAAAATAAAGCATATTGCTGGACAATGGTTCTTGACCATTATGTATTTCAGAAGTGCTATTTTGTCTAGGTGTATCACATGCACTATTGATCTGCATGACCTCGCACCCTGATAATTGCTGTAACATGTCACGCTTCTAGGAAGAATAAAAAATAGTGATTTAAACCAAGGATACCAGTACACCAGCACGAGACGTTGGTACCAAGTTTAGTACAAGTACCAGTCCATTATGTGTTTGTGACTGAAACAGATCGTCTAGAACCGTTATTTGCAAATGTATACAGGATGATATTAAGATTAAGATATAAATAACATTCTCTTGGATTTAATTAATCCAACCTTTTAATATGAACCACAATAATATCATCTGAACTTTCAGAAGCCATAGCGGAAGTTAACAATAGCCTGTTGCATCCTAGGATGGATAGGTCATCAGGTCATATTCTAGGATGACCGCCATGCTTCTTGAAGTAACCTCAGTATGGTTTAATTAATTGGGGACCTGTTATGTATAAGTAACCTCAGTATGGTTTAATTAGTGGGGACCTGTTATGTATAAGTAACCTCAGTATGATTTAATTAGTGGGGACCTGTTATGTATAAGTAACCTCAGTATGGTTTAATTAATGGGGACCTGTTAGGTATAAGTAACCTCAGTATGGTTTAAATAGTTGGGACCTGTTATGTATAAGTAACATTAGTATGGTTTAATTAGTGGGGACCTGTTAGGTATAAGTAACCTCAGTATGGTTTAATTAGTGGGGACCTGTTATGTATTAGTAACCTCAGTATGGTTTAATTAATGGGGACCTGTTATGTATTAGTAACCTTAGTATGGTTTAATTAGTGGGGACCTGTTATGTATTAGTAACCTTAGTATGGTTTAATTAGTGGGGACCTGTTAGGTATAAGTAACCTCAGTATGGTTTAATTAGTGGGGACCTGTTATGTATAAGTAACCTCAGTATGGTTTAATTAGTGGGGACCTGTTATGTATAAGTAACATTAGTATGGTTTAATTAGTGGGGACCTGGTATGTATAAATAACCTCAGTATAGTTTAATTAGTGTATTTTGAATATTTTTTAATACAAGGAGTTTTGACATTGTTGCACATGTTTCTTTTAACCAGTCCAAAGACAGCTGTGATCAGATGAACATATATCATAAAGCTCTGTTGCTGTGGAGTTTCCAGAAAGGTCTCGAAGGCTTTAAATATGAACTGACTCACCACCGTCATGTGGAGCCCATGCATCCAGTTGCTCTGTCAAATAGGTAAAGATCACAACACATGTACAATCATACAGTCCTCGGTTTATATATAGCTTTTGTAATCATCCATTACTGTTCAAATCAAAACCTAACTTATGCAGCTTCAGCCAGTCACTGAGTTTTAGTCAACTGTCATTAGATAATTTGGTTTTCAAAATTTAAGAATTAAAGATAAAAATCTACAACATGTTAATTAGAAAATGTTTTCATTGATATACAACTTTTTCATTACCTTGGAACTTATAACTTTTCACTTGTAAATGGACAGAATATGAACATATCAAATACTGTACACCACCTTCCATTCAAAGGTACTAGCTTTCTCAATTTCAGTAATGTAACAAGTTTGCTGCAATTTACTTTTGCAAATATGAGCCACCATTATAAAATTCAAAGTGTATGGTCCTCATTTAAACCAAGAGGGAGACCCCCATATCAGATTGCTAATTTAGCTGTCACATGATCTTACCATATACAGTTTGACAACTTATGAACAGCATATGGTACAATACCTAGTGGAATGGACAAGTCTTATTAACTTTAAAGTTCTTTAGGTCTCATGTGGCTTTGTTTATATAGCACTGTGAAGGTTGATCATGAACGGCTTGATATGATACGGTCATAGAATTCAAGCACGCTACAGGTCCCCAGTGGAATGTCCCCAGTGGAATGTTTCAATTATAAAATAAAGGAAATAACTTGTCCTAAATATTGAATTTAACTGTAGATTATTATAGCTTTATGTATTGTACATGTACATTCAGGATAAACAAATAGTCATTATATAAAGCAACAAAAGCAGTGTAAATTAGGCCGGTTTTGTGTAAGCAGTTGAAACAATTTTACCACTTTAACCTGCAAGAAAAATGTCAGGTACATATCGGGACTGAGGCTGGACTGCAAAATTTTGGCACGTGCAGTTTAAGGGGTTTTGCAGTACCTGTCCAAAACTAATTTAACTAAATATCTGAGATTAGTCCTAATGAATTAAGGGTCAAAGTAACCCGACCAATACTGAACATGAACACCAGTGTTGACCTCCACTGAGGGGAATGAAATATTTTTAATTAAACTTACAAAACTGCAACTTGTACATTGGACCACATGTACACAAAGATTCCTTTCTGCCAGTTAGGAAACGCTGAATGGTGGAGATGTATAGGTGACATTTTCTTCATATGGCCCTACTCTTGAGAGGAACTGACCTCCTTCTCAGATGTCAATTCTTACCACCCTACCATTAAGTTCATGTCCAAAATTAGCGACACATCAGTAGATTTGCTAGATACAGCCATCTTTTTGAGAGAGGATGGAGCAATACAAAGTCGTATCCACAACAAACCGATTACAACTTCCTGTATCTACATTACAAGCATAGCCAGCCCAAAACATCAAAAAGAGAACATACTGTGTTAACAAGCTTTACCAGGAAATTATACAGCACTAAAGAAAACTTCAATACTGAATACAACAATCTCATTGAATTGTATTTAATGATAAGAAAAGTATAACATAATGCTGTACTGCACTTACCTACCCTTTGAACATTGACCATTGTATGTTAAACTCCTGAAAAGCTATTTCAGGGAACCTCAATTTTAAAGTTTTGTCCTGGTAAAACCAACCCACTTACTAGTAACACTACAAGTATGCATGTTGGTCTCCTTTCAGGATTTTGTCACACCCAATTAAAGACAAGAATTCTGTGGTGCTACCCACTGTGAGACAGAAACACATGGATGCCAAACTAAGTGCTAACATTTTAAGTGTTCTGTCAGTGAGACTAAGGGAGGGTTATACTATCAAAGATGTCTACCTCAATAAAGGTAAGTATTGGGGTTATTCTCTTGATAAACTTAGGATTTATTAAAATATTTATGATATTGGAACAGTCAGAATCTTACCTTTGCTTGTTTGCTGCCAAAGTAATTTCAGGGTGGGGCTCTTCTTATGCTAACTGGTAGCAACTTCACTGAACAACATGTGGGAGGCTGAAGGCTTTCTATACAAAACAATGATTGAAGTCTTTTAGAAACACAAACCCACTTTGCATCTTTACTTGCAGTTGCATATTCTAATACTGTATTGGGAAGCTATCACAGGCCCTCCACCTCCCTCTCCTCCTTATTATAGAAATGCAGTATTCATCGATGATATTGTCACTCAATTATGATACACGTTATGTATACTTAAATTGAAAATGTTGACTGCAACTATTGTGATGGATGCAGCAAACAGGAAGCAAGAAAATGGCACAAAAAACATGATTATCTCCCTTTATCACATTTTTCTGTAGTGTGTTGTTTTTTTCCTGAATAACAGTACGCTGATGCTAAGAATGACCAAGGTTATTCATTGTATATGTATTTCAGGTTTATACTTATCCTTATTTCAGCTGTTGAACTTAACTGTAAAGACAAAGAAATCAAGTTTTTACTAATTCACTGACATCATATTTGATAATTAACCTTCTTTAACTTTCAGGTGGAAGTCAGATTGAGGTGCACTTAATTCTGCCATATAAAGATTATGTTAAAATTGAATATACTGCTACAGCTTTCTGGCCAATGGAAACGGATAGGTAAGTTGAACACTGGAAGTAATTAAACTTCTATTTTGATAAGTTTATAAGATATCACAGCAGTATTTGCAAGATATGCTTTAGAATGGTTGTAAAACATTTATTGAAGGGTTGTTATGAAAATATGTAGAAAAATGAGCAGAACAGCCAATGACTCCGTGTGTCCATTGTGTTTGGTTTAGGAGACAAATCACTAACTCCAATGTCTTGCTTTATTTTGTTTAAGGATACAGGCCACTGACTCTAATGTTTAGTGTGTTTTGTTTAAGGATACAGGCCACTGACTCTAATGTTTAGTGTGATTTTTTTAAGGATACAGGCCACTGACTCTAATGTTTAGTGTGTTTTGTTTAAGGATACAGGCCACTGACTCTAATGTTTAGTGTGTTTTGTTTAAGGATACAGGCCACTGACTCTAATGTTTAGTGTGTTTTGTTTAAGGATACAGGCCACTGACTCTAATGTTTAGTGTGTTTTGTTTAAGGATACAGGCCACTGACTCTAATGTTTAGTGTGTTTTGTTATAGGAGACAGGCCACTGACTCTAATGTTTAGTGTGTTTTGTTTAAGGATACAGGCCACTGACTCTAATGTTTAGTGTGTTTTGTTTAAGGATACAGGCCACTGACTCTAATGTTTAGTGTGTTTTGTTTAAGGATACAGGCCACTGACTCTAATGTTTAGTGTGTTTTGTTATAGGAGACAGGCCACTGACTCTAATGTTTAGTGTGTTTTGTTTAAGGATACAGGCCACTGACTCTAATGTTTAGTGTGTTTTGTTTAAGGATACAGGCCACTGACTCTAATGTTTAGTGTGTTTTGTTATAGGAGACAGGCCACTGACTCTAATGTTTAGTGTGTTTTGTTTAAGGATACAGGCCACTGACTCTAATGTTTAGTGTGTTTTGTTATAGGAGACAGGCCACTGACTCTAATGTTTAGTGTGTTTTGTTATAGGAGACAGGCCACTGACTCTAATGTTTAGTGTGTTTTGTTTAAGGATACAGGCCACTGACTCTAATGTTTAGTGTGTTTTGTTTAAGGATACAGGCCACTGACTCTAATGTTTAGTGTGTTTTGTTATAGGAGACAGGCCACTGACTCTAATGTTTAGTGTGTTTTGTTTAAGGATACAGGCCACTGACTCTAATGTTTAGTGTGTTTTGTTATAGGAGACAGGCCACTGACTCTAATGTTTAGTGTGTTTTGTTTAAGGATACAGGCCACTGACTCTAATGTTTAGTGTGTTTTGTTATAGGAGACAGGCCAACTCTAATGTTTTGTGTGTTTTGTTTAAGGATACAGGCCACTGACTCTAATGTTTAGTGTGTTTTGTTATAGGAGACAGGCCACTGACTCTAATGTTTAGTGTGTTTTGTTTAAGGATACAGGCCACTGACTCTAATGTTTAGTGTGTTTTGTTTAAGGATACAGGCCACTGACTCTAATGTTTAGTGTGATTTGTTATAGGAGACAGACTACTGAAGAGAACTACAGTCCCCAGGATTCACAGACCTATGCAGAGGTTTACATAGAAGGGCGTTATGACTTCCTACATGACTTCACTTGTTCACAACTCAAGGTCAACCAAAGTCAAAGAATGATCAACATTAAACGCTTTTGGATGACACTTGAAAGGTACTTTTTTGGCTTGAGTTGAAATCACAGAACACTAAATACAGTCTCATATTGTCTACTGAATAGTATCTTAATGATTGGTGTTTTTGACATATTTAGTATGAATTGTATTTAGGTTATATCTTACATACAGAGAGATCTGAATAAGGTATTTTGGGAGTTGTCCTTTATAAACAGGTTGTGTTCATCATACTTTGGGAGTTCCTCTTTAAGACAAATTGTCTAGGTATTGCATGGTGGGAGTTGTTTGCTATAGGCAGGTTATCTGTTGATATGATATTGTTTGAGATGTCTTAAGTAGAGAGGTTCTTGTCAGTGTGGGTATTGAAGGTTGAGGCAAGATGATCAACTGTTCTGTATATTTAGGTAAATTTATAACTGATTATAATTGTGCTGTTATTGTATGGAAGGTTGAGACAAGATGATCAACTGTTCTGTATATTTAGGTAAATTCATAACTGATTATAATTGTGCTGTTATTGTATAGAAGGTTGAGACAGGATGATCAGCTGTTCTGTATATTTAGGTAAATTCATAACTGATTATAATTGTGCTGTTATTGTATAGAAGGTTGAGACAGGATGATCAGCTGTTCTGTATATTTAGGTAAATTTATGACTGATTATAATTGTGCTGTTATTGTACCGAAGGTTGAGACAGGATGATCAGCTGCTTGACCACCTGCAGACTTTTGGGTCCAACACTGTTCACTACAAAGTACCTGACAGCATCAAAAAGGGCATTCCTCTGTTTTACATGCCACCTAACTCCAACAACCCTGTCCTCAACTCCCAACATAACAACAAGTAAGTTAAATGATTTTATCTCTGTGGGTGAAATTCCTGACATGGTTAATTGCCTCTTGTTATAGTATAATAGAATCTTTTATCCCCTTGGACAGGAGATAGGTGGATCTCAACCATAGGGGAAAGATGATTAAATGTGAAAGACAAGGCTTGTCGAGTATTTGTAACTTAAGCATCTTTTCCCAAGGGTTGCGATCACCATATCTTACCAACAAGGGGTTGAATGATAATTTTACTCGTACCCTGCTGATTTTATTAGGTACTCATGTGTGTTTTTGTTGTCCCAATGCTTTGAATCGTTGATGTGACATCAGTGAATTGTTACTGTGATGTCAAATCATTGTCCTGATGGGAATCTCCCTGTCTCCACCCCTAGATTGAGACAAGGAAATCTCACACCGATAAAAAGTATAAATTTACCTGTCCAGGTTAAACAAAATGGAGTGTCTCTTATCCATTGTCCAACTAAGGTTAATATCTTCAGTATTAAACCAGTATATGGAACAACATTGTATATGATTACATATTGATGGTAAAGTCTTCAGTGGTTATATAAGATCTCGGTCTCAATTATCTGTCAATGTTTTCTTGAAAACATGATGTCATTAGTTGAATTATCTCCACATTAGTTTATGTTAATAAATATATTTTACTGTTATGTTAGGGATTCTGCTCTGCTTTCATTTGCGATGTACTGGAAACCGGTGGTGAACTTGGATATAAAAATTTGGTAAGTTGAAACACCTTTTACAACAATTGATAATTGTTTAAAAAGTATCATAACTGTTTACTATTTTACTATGAGAAACACTTTCTATTATATGTTCTAGAATCAGATAACCTAAGAAATCATGTTACACACAGAACTGTATTGAATTCAGTTCAAGGGAGGTAATTTATGTATCTCAAGAGAAGTAACTTTTTGATAAGGTGATATACATTCAATAAGATTGTGTCTTTACACTGATTTGAATATTTGTAATTTGAAGTTTTATGTTATATTTTACAGGCAAAAGTGGATGCACAGTCACCGTATAGGGATGATTCTAGAACATGACGTGCCTTTACCCAAATACCTACATACCCCTAATTCTAGTGGGCGATTCCATGTGGTGCTGTGTCGCCAGGCGCTCACTTCCTTGCATGCCCTGCTACGTGACTGGAGTACCTTTGTGTTACTGGAGAATGATTCCTATATTAAGTTACTGCCAAGGTTTGTATTCATATATAGTACAACATTTTGAAAAGACTTTCCCCTGCATAAGTCATATATCATACCATTTTTTGTAGTAAATATTTGTTGATGTCAGATATCATTAATTCAAATGTTTATGAAAAAAGAGTACAGGAGTTTACTTGTTTGCAATATTTTCATATCTCATTTTTATTGTTTTCCATATGGCAGCAATTCGGAAAAACCTCCAACCTCTTTCCTGTTACTGAGGGTGACATCCAAGCCACCATATATGGTACTGCGGTTGGCATTTTTAGGGGGTTCCCCTGGCTGGGAGAGATACTGTACCATTCAGGAGCTTCGTGACAAAGTGGCTGTTTTGAGATTCCCTAAGAGAGGTCCAACAAAGGTTGAGAAGGCAAAAGTATCTCCTACCAAGGACAGTGCACTGAAGAAACTAAAGAAAACACCATCACCTCTTTTACGGGATTGGTCAGAAATTAATTGCTGTGTTCTGCTGACCAAACCTGTAGAGCAAATACTCATCAGGTGAGTGAACTGTTACCATCCATTGAAACAAAAGATGGGATTAAACTGTTTCTTCCATAGATTCTCAGCAAACGACTTTTATTCCCATAGTGCAAATAGCTGTCAGGTGCTTTCAATATCTAAACAAGTTTTTGTGGAAAGATTTGAAATATGAGTCCAGTTTATATTGGATGATATCTTAGCCGTGGGTCGTGATAGCACAGTTGGATAAAGCATTGCCCTATGTCACCTCAGATGGAGATCCAGGTGCAATGGACAATGCTCCCTACCTGTAGTGGTTTGTATCTCTCAGGAAGCTGAAATGTTGACTGATCTATGCTGATGTTGTGTCCTTGAGAAACACATTTTACCCTTATTGCTTTGGATGGCATGCTATGGTCCTCCTGTATGATGTTCAGTGAGGAAGCCACCAAGTTAACAAGGAGACACTGCCTCAATATGACACTGGCTGTTCACACAGAGATAAACCCAACAAACCAGAACAAACAAATATCTTGGCCAGTGATTCATGTGTCTTGTCGGTGGTTTAGGGGGAATATTTCCATTCTCTTGTACAACAGTGATTTAGATGTTTTGTAATCAAACAAATTCTCTTTTTCCATTAGCAGTTTCTGCAGTACCCAATTGATGACATTTAAGTAAATTTTAAACATTACAGTAACATTAATTTTAAAAATTTGATAATGAATGTAATTCATGTATAAATGAAAAAATGGCATAATTTGTGATTGACAGCTATGATCGCTTACCTCAAGATATGAGTATCATAGAGGACCCCTCCAAGTTCCTTCCTAGTCATCTCTCAAACCAACAGCTTGCCAGTAAGACTGCTGTCGCCAACACCTTCAACATGATGTCTCGTTACCTCCACCATCAACGCTGGGTCTGGACTGTCAAACAGGGCAAGGTGGAGGTCAGCATGCCAGCCATAGGTCGTATCCTGTCCACTCTAGCCAAGTAAGTACTTCATACCTTGTCTACTAGTATAGAATGCAGGTCACATCAGATCACATCCTGTACACAAGCGAAGTAATTAGGTTTCATTCTATCCACGCTAAGAAAGTATACAGGTCACATTCCCTCTGCAAACTATGTTGGACATATCTTATCCATACTAGCAAAATAAAATTGTAATATCCTCTCAACACTAGAAAAGCATGAAGGTCAAATCATGTCTGCACTAGAAAAGTATAAAGGTAAAATCCTGACCTCACTACCAAAGTAAGTAGGTCGCATCACTATCAACTTTAATAGGTCACATCCTGTCTACATTTCTAAACTACCAAACCAAGTAGATCACACAGTATATACTACCAAATTGAATAGGTCACATCCTGTTTACCTGGCCACTCTACCAAACTAAGAAGATCACATCCTGTTTATACTACCAAATTAAAAAGGTTGCTTCCTGTCTACTCTATCAAATTGAATAGGTCACATCCCATCTATATGTTTCACTCTATCAAAGTGAACAGGTCACAATTTGTTCACTCTGTCAAAGTCAGTGTGCACTTTTTTGGTCACATCTGCCAAATAAAAAGGTAGCATTCTGTTGTTGAATAACCTATGGAGGTTGCATCCAAATCCTGATATATATGACTATTCCTTTTTTAAATGTGAAATGTTGTAAGAGTACACTACTTGTCATAAATAATTAGATGATTTGGTTAAAAGAAAATGGAGACAATGGACTTGTGTTACCTATTTCAGAATTCGCCTTCAGGAAGGATTCAATTTTGTCTCCAGTAATTCTGGCATTGTCAACATGGTGGCTGAAGTTGAAATGCAGGTATGCTATGTAGAAATATTTCCAGTTACCAGAAATATTCCTGATCTCCTGTGTTGGTTGTTATACAGTTTTTTTTGTAACACACCATTTCATTGGTTGATTTTTGAAGTTCTTTAAGTGATATATAAAGAAATCATATAATAAAACCTTATACACAAATTGTAACCTTTCAAAAATATGCTTCAATTAACCAGTCATCTGCTAAGTAATGGACAGCTCCTATATTAAACAAAAAAATTGACCACTGGGAAGTTATTTGGAAATCCAAACACTGTAACTTGAGACTTCAGTTGTCTAGTTAAGGATATGTTGGAAATTAATACACCATTATATAATTGTACTTTAATCCTGATCATAAAAACTGAATTAAGAAAATTATTTTTTCAATATAGCAAGGAAATTAATTAATTAAGATTAATGCAGATTAGAAACATGTCATTTATGTAGAGACTGATAATGGTACTATGAATAGGTTTATGTAAGGAGTGGCCTTAATTTACTGTTAGTTCCACCCATCAGCCGATTATCTGGTATCCTTGATAAGAAAGGTTTTCTTTATTCCATAACAAAAGGAACCATGAAAATATTGTTTGTTGTTTATAGGACAAGAATGGAGTGGACACGGATGTCACTAAATGTGCCATACAGTATATCATGTTCCCACCCTACATCAAAACTACGAGGGATAGGTGAGTATTACAGTATATAATGTTCAAATCCTTCATCAGAACTCTGAGAGACAGGTAAGTAATAAAGTATATCATGTTCCCACCCTACATCAGAACTCTGAGAGACAGGTAAGTAATACAGTATATAATGTTCAAATCCTTCATCAGAACTCTGAGAGACAGGTAAGTAATACAGTATATCGTGTTCAAATCCTTCATCAGAACTCTGAGAGACAGGTAAGTAATACAGTATATCGTGTTCAAATCCTTCATCAGAACTCTGAGAGACAGGTAAGTAATACAGTATATCGTGTTCAAATCCTTCATCAGAACTCTGAGAGACAGGTAAGTAATGCAGTATATCGTGTTCAAATCCTTCATCAGAACTCTGAGAGACAGGTAAGTAATACAGTATATCATGTTCCCACCCTACATCAGAACTCTGAGAGACAGGTAAGTAATACAGTATATAATGTTCAAATCCTTCATCAGAACTCTGAGAGACAGGTAAGTAATACAGTATATAATGTTCAAATCCTTCATCAGAACTCTGAGAGACAGGTAAGTAATACAGTATATCGTGTTCAAATCCTTCATCAGAACTCTGAGAGACAGGTAAGTAATACAGTATATCGTGTTCAAATCCTTCATCAGAACTCTGAGAGACAGGTAAGTAATAAAGTATATCATGTCCCCACCCTACATCAGAACTCTGAGAGACAGGTAAGTAATACAGTATATAATGTTCAAATCCTTCATCAGAACTCTGAGAGACAGGTAAGTAATACAGTATATAATGTTCAAATCCTTCATCAGAACTCTGAGAGACAGGTAAGTAATAATATCGTGTTCAAATCCTTCATCAGTATATACAGTATATCGTGTTCAAATCCTTCATCAGAACTCTGAGAGACAGGTAAGTAATACAGTATATCATGTTCCCACCCTTCATCAGAACTCTGAGAGACAGGTAAGTAATACAGTATATAATGTTCAAATCCTTCATCAGAACTCTGAGAGACAGGTAAGTAATACAGTATATAATGTTCAAATCCTTCATCAGAACTCTGAGAGACAGGTAAGTAATACAGTATATAAGTATATCAGAACTCTGTGTTCAAATCCTTCATCAGAACTCTGAGAGACAGGTAAGTAATACAGTATATCGTGTTCAAATCCTTCATCAGAACTCTGAGAGACAGGTAAGTAATACAGTATATCCAAATCCTTCATCAGAACTCTGAGAGACAGGTAAGTAATACAGTATATCGTGTTCAAATCCTTCATCAGAACTCTGAGAGACAGGTAAGTAATACAGTATATCGTGTTCAAATCCTTCATCAGAACTCTGAGAGACAGGTAAGTAATACAGTATATCATGTCCCCACCCTACATCAGAACTCTGAGAGACAGGTAAGTAATACAGTATATAATGTTCAAATCCTTCATCAGAACTCTGAGAGACAGGTAAGTAATACAGTATATAATGTTCAAATCCTTCATCAGAACTCTGAGAGACAGGTAAGTAATACAGTATATCCAAATCCTTCATCAGAACTCTGAGAGACAGGTAAGTAATACAGTATATCGTGTTCAAATCCTTCATCAGAACTCTGAGAGACAGGTAAGTAATAAAGTATATCATGTTCCCTTCACCCTAGAGACATCAGTATATCATGTTCTCTGAGAGACAGGTAAGTAATACAGTATATAATGTTCAAATCCTTCATCAGAACTCTGAGAGACAGGTAAGTAATACAGTATATAATGTTCAAATCCTTCATCAGAACTCTGAGAGACAGGTAAGTAATACAGTATATATTGTGTTCAAATCCTTCATCAGAACTCTGAGAGACAGGTAAGTAATACAGTATATCGTGTTCAAATCCTTCATCAGAATTCTGAGAGACAGGTAAGTAATACAGTATATCGTGTTCAAATCCTTCATCAGAACTCTGAGAGACAAGTAAGTAATGCAGTATATCGTGTTCAAATCCTTCATCAGAACTCTGAGAGACAGGTAAGTAATACAGTATATCATGTTCAAATCCTTCATCAGAACTCTGAGAGACAGGTAAGTAATACAGTATATAATGTTCAAATCCTTCATCAGAAGTCTAAGAGACAGGTAAGTAATACAGTATATATAGTGTTCAAATCCTTCATCAGAACTCTGAGAGACAGGTAAGTAATACAGTATATATCGTGTTCAAATCCTTCATCAGAACTCTGAGAGACAGGTAAGTAATACAGTATATCGTGTTCAAATCCTTCATCAGAACTCTGAGAGACAGGTAAGTAATAAAGTATATCATGTTCCCACCCTACATCAGAACTCTGAGAGACAGGTAAGTAATACAGTATATCGTGTTCAAATCCTTCATCAGAACTCTGAGAGACAGGTAAGTAATGCAGTATATCGTGTTCAAATCCTTCATCAGAACTCTGAGAGACAGGTAAGTAATACAGTATATAATGTTCAAATCCTTCATCAGAACTCTGAGAGACAGGTAAGTAATACAGTATATCGTGTTCAAATCCTTCATCAGAACTCTGAGAGACAGGTAAGTAATACAGTATATCGTGTTCAAATCCTTCATCAGAACTAGAGACAGGTAAGTAATACAGTATATCGTGTTCAAATCCTTCATCAGAACTCTGAGAGACAGGTAAGTAATAAAGTATATCATGTTCCCACCCTACATCAGAACTCTGAGAGACAGGTAAGTAATACAGTATATCGTGTTCAAATCCTTCATCAGAACTCTGAGAGACAGGTAATTGCAGTATATCGTGTTCAATCCTTCATCAGAACTCTGAGAGACAGGTAAGTATACAGTATATAATGTTCAAATCCTTCATCAGAACTCTGAGAGACAGGTAAGTAATACAGTATATCATGTTCAAATCCTTCATCAGAACTCTGAGAGACAGGTAAGTAATACAGTATATAATGTTCAAATCCTTCATCAGAAGTCTAAGAGACAGGTAAGTAATACAGTATATATAGTGTTCAAATCCTTCATCAGAACTCTGAGAGACAGGTAAGTAATACAGTATATATTGTGTTCAAATCCTTCATCAGAACTCTGAGAGACAGGTAAGTAATACAGTATATATCGTGTTCAAATCCTTCATCAGAAGTCTAAGAGACAGGTAAGTAATACAGTATATATAGTGTTCAAATCCTTCATCAGAACTCTGAGAGACAGGTAAGTAATACAGTATATATCATGTTCAAATCCTTCATCAGAACTCTGAGAGACAGGTAAGTAATACAGTATATATCGTGTTCAAATCCTTCATCAGAAGTCTAAGAGACAGGTAAGTAATACAGTATATATAGTGTTCAAATCCTTCATCAGAACTCTGAGTGACAGTTGAGTATCACAGAATTATGAATTTTGATCATTTCACTACATATACAATGTACATAAACCTGTATGCTGTTTTGGATTTGGAAATAATAAAACTTGAAACTTGTGATCAGTATATCATGTTCAAACCTTACAAGAAATGTATGAGGGACAGGTGAGTATTACAGTTTGTCATTTTCCACTCTACATTAAGACTACTGTATACTATTAAGACCACTAATCAATGCTTTAGGTGGTATATCAAAGTGAGGATGAGGAAAGAGTCCGCAAGAATTCTTGAAAGACTAATTTAACTATTGCTGTTGATGGTGCTTTACAACATGTCTGGGGAGAGTCACCTTTCAGTTTTTTTAAGATCGTTTTAACCTTTACTCTGTGTGGTGTTTTATAGTGTGTCTGAGGAGGATGTGGATGAGGTGGAGACTACTGAAGCTGATGGAGATGTACAGATTGTCACAGAATGTTGGGCGGAGCCTCAGTTTGGTGTTGGTGTCAACAACCCAACAGAGAGAAAGCACTGGGATGGCATGACCTACAAAGACATGGCTAAAGCTGTAAGTAAATAATTTTGTATCATAGACGTATGTACTTCAGATACTTGTTGGCATAAAATTATTTTCAGCATTTTCAAGTTATAGGACCAACTTGAAATTTTTGTATAGATTCTTCAGAACTACGGATTTATGCCTCAAGGGTCATATGTCACACCTTGATGTGCTATGTAAACATTATCACTGTCCTACTGGTAAACTTTTCACACCTCGTGACTCCTAAACGATAGACCGACCAGCCTACCTGTAAGGTCCAGCTAGGTCCAGGGAAGTCTGATGCTTTTTTTTTAGTTGGCTAATGCAATCCAAATGTTAAAAGTGATTGGAAACCCTTCTCACTTGGAACTTGTCACGATGATTAGGCCCATGTGCAAGTTGGCGCCATGCAAAAAAGTTGAACATGCTGCTGAAACTTCCTGTAGTGTGTTTTTAGTATGCATACCAAGATCAATTAAAGATCAATCAGACATTTTCACAAAGCTTCATGGTGCTGCTTATGTCTTCGCTGATATTCATCTTCCTGAATGATTCATTCTAGATACATAATGTATCATTTGGAATGAAGATTGAAAATCCATTTGGTCATGATATCAGAACATTGATGCTTTCATCTTCATTAAATCATTTATTGCTTAAATTATCATGAGCACTGGAAAGATGACTGTAAAATGTTCTGACACTGGGGTTTCCCTATGTTGTGTTTTATGACATGTGATTGGCCAATAAAAATAACCATAAATATGATAGGCATGAAAACATGGTGTTTCACAGGTGAACAGTTCACACTCGGTTGGCTAGTTCTGTCAGCAATGGTGGATGAGAAGCAATCTTTAGGACACATTATATTGAAGTTGCAGATGTACACACTAAATATATAAATTGACTTTGCAATTATGCCCTATTATGTATCCTACACAGTAATGGACAAATTAATTATGCAGCAAAATATCTGCTCATGACACTGTAGTTTCGTGAATGAATTTGACCACATTTACACTGTGAATATGACATGATCGTTCATGATTATTTGTGATAGTTGATGAGATATTTCAAAGGATAAACAAAGAAAAGTTAAGAAAATCAATGTGCTTACGGTTAAAACAAATTAGATTACAAATGTTTGTCTTGAAGCAATTTCTGTAAGAAACAATTCTGTTTGGCACATCAGAAAGTTAACTTCTGGGTTTAGATGTATGATGTAGATCAGAAAGTTAACTTCCGGGTTTAGATGTAGTATATAGATGTTCAGCTGTTAATGTTGTATTCCACTTATCACATTTTCCCCTGACAATTGGAACATAATATTAAGGAGTTTCTACTCTATTCAACTTTAATCAAACGAATGCAACACGGATAAAGTTTTGAATGTTATTTAATATGTGAAATTTACATTACAGAAAATAATTTGCGAGCTAAACAATTAACTTGCTCAGTATTACATTTTAAGATATTGGCATACTGTTAGCCAATAGCCAAAACAGTTATCTGGTACACTTTATCTGTTAGGATATTTGAGTTACCTCCCTTGCCCAGTAGTTGCCTCATTGACACTACATCTGTCTGGGTAACCAGAGGAGAATATTTTTACTGTTGTGCAGTGTTGTCAACATGTAGTCATAAAATATGTAGCTAGGTATTTTACAGGGTCATCAAGTAAGAAAGACTTATATTCATAAGTTTTACTGACTTCATCATATTTCTTTATATGTTGATATTCTATGCAATTTTTAAGTCATATGTTAATCTTAACATGCAGAACATTAGCAGGGTATTGTGACTAGTTCTATGTTATAATGATAGTTTCAGTGATTAAACAAAAGCTATGTTATAAATATCACAATACATAGAGGATATTTAATAGTCTCCTTTGGAATATCAGTAACATGGAGGATATTAAATGGTTTTCTTTGGAATACAAATGATATATATAATATCTAAATGTCCTCTCTGGATATAAATACATAGAGGATATTAGATAATTTCCTTTGGAATATCAATAACGTGGAGAATATTTAATAGTTTTCATTGGAATACCAATAACATAGATAATATGTTATGGTCTCCTTTGAAATATCAGTAAAATGTTGGATATGTACTGGTCTCCTTTGGAATATTAATAACATAGAGGATTTTTAATGGCCTCCTTTGGATTACCAAATATATTCTCATGAGTACAAAACACAAAGTGAAAATTGTCAGTATATTTTAACCTTTAAAGTGAAATGTATTTGGTTTTATGTATTAGAAAAATAGAAATGTCATAATTAATGGACTATGATGCCATATAATCATCTTTATTCTGTTTGTTATTTGGAATCAACCGCCCGTCTGATTCTGTAATTTCTACAAATTCTAGTAAAATTCCATGAAAATGTGCCATCATTTGTGCTATTTATCATATACTTAAGTGTTTGTTATAGCAACTAATTGGTATACAGTTTCATATACCCGTACATTTTAACAGAAACGATACAGCTTTCAGAGAACAGAAAGTCATATTAGTGCAATTAATAGGACATCTTCACCCTGATGGATATCAACAGTGCCTCTATAAACAATATCTGTTGTTATATTGAGAATTCAGTATATCTCTGGTAAAGATATAATCACAGGATGGATCACATTGTATCATAAATACATAGGGAATACATGGTCAGTGTCAATATGTCTTTCAGGTAAAGACAGACAAAGTACCCTAGTGCATCCTGGTAGTTTGTCAAAATTGATACAACTACAGATGATAACACTAGGACAGGAGAGATTGACATACTGGTTATATAGGATCATATCCTAATAGTGTCACTGATCCACACAACGCAGACTTTGATACAGAAATTCCAGCTTGTCTGAAAAAAATAGCATGTTTTAAAAAGACTTCAGGTTAATAACCAACAACAGTACTTTATAGTACACAACTGGAGTGTAAACAGGTAGGAATAATCTTAGAAAATGGAATACTACATTTATATATGTATCAGTATGTCAGTACTTTTATTGGTAGGTAAAATAATGCTTTCTCTACCATCAAAGACACCCCTGATTCAGTGTATAACTAGGATATTTCAAAAACTCAAATGTTGCAGGTAAAGAAACTGTCCATGACCATGTTTATACATAATAAACATTACCTATTTGTCACTGACTGATCAACTGTTCATACTAGAAAGAACACCTGTCTAGAGGTAAATGATGGTTTGTGAGTGATTACTTGTGTACTAGAGGGATCACCTGTCTACCTCAGAGATTACCTGTCTGACCCTGAAAGAACGCCTGTCTGTACCAGAGTGCTCACTTGTCTTAACCTCAGTGATCACTTCTGTACCAAAGTGATCATCTATCTATTCGTCAGTGACCACCTGTTGGTCCCTGAGTGATCACATGTCTATACTAGAGTGTTCAGCTCTCAGTACTTTAGTAATTTCTTGCCTTTACCAGAATAATCATTTCTCTGTACCTTTACCTGAATAATCATTTCTCTTTACCTGAGTGATCACCAGTCAGTACCGTAATGATCATCTGTCTGTCACCAGAGATCACCTGTTTGTGCCCCAGAGATCACCTTTCTGTTCTTCAGCGATCACCCTTCTGTACTAGAATGATCAACTGTTTTTACCCCAGAGATCACCTTTCTGTCCTTCAGCGATCACCCTTCTGTACTAGAATGATCAACTGTTTTTACCCCAGAGATCACCTGCTTGTGCTCCAGAAGTTTTCAATAAAGTTTGTGTAATCCTCAATGAAGAACAGGTGAAAGATACAAGCTTGCTATGCCCCTTGTTTATCATTGACTACTTCATACTGGTGATACATTTTATGAATGGCTCCTATTTTTGTTTTGTGAATCAGTATTTTTTATGAATGACCTAGTAATTAAGCCATATAAACAACATATGAATAATGATTATGTTGGGATGAGTGTGTTATCTCTGTATTTACCTTACTCCACCTTTGGTCGAGGGAGAGGATACAGGTAGTAATCACCACTAGAGAATTAGTTCCCGTACAGGGTAGCACAGATAACACGGATAAAGATGTGAAGATTAGACCAAAGGCCACCATTTAATAACCTTTGTCAATTCTCTTATCATTCACACGTAACTCTCATTGCCTGGGCCCATGAGAAAATATCTAACTCTAATACAAATTGTAATACAGTAGGTGTTATTATGACATCTGTATAACTTAGTAACCCTGTGGACAGACACCTGTAAAATTACATATGATATACGACAACTATATACCTCATAAAACTGAGTACCTCTGTATTATTACATGTACTACCTGTATAATTAGAAAAACTGTGTATTATTACATATACTTCCTACATAATTAGAAAAACTGAGTACCTCTGTATTATTACATGTATTATAATTAGAAAAACTGAACATATACTTAAGGACACTTGTATAATTAGAAAAAACTGAGTACCTCTGTATTATTACATGTACTACCTATATAATTAGAAAAACTGAGTACTTCTGTATTATTACATATACTTAAGGACACCTGTATAATTAGAAAAAACTGAGTACCTCTGTATTATTACATGTACTACCTGTATAATTAGAAAAACTGAGTACTTCTGTATTATAACATATACTTAAGGACACCTGTATAATTAGAAAAAACTGAGTACCTCTGTATTATTACATGTACTACCTGTATAATTAGAAAAACTGAGTACTTCTGTATTATAACATATACTTAAGGACACCTGTATAATTAGAAAAAACTGAGTACCTCTGTATTATTACATGTACTACCTGTATAATTAGAAAAACTGAGTACTTCTGTATTATAACATATACTTAAGGACACCTGTATAATTAGAAAAAACTGAGTACCTCTGTATTATTACATGTACTACCTATATAATTAGAAAAACTGAGTACTTCTGTATTATTACATATACTTAAGGACACTTGTATAATTAGAAAAAACTGAGTACCTCTGTATTATTACATGTACTTAAGGACACCTATATAATTAGAAAAACTGAGTAC